CCAATAATTTTAAGGGCATTTGTGCGACTTTTTAAAAAATGAATATTCAGCATAAATTTTTTTAAAAAAATTTTGAGGAAATATCGCTAAAAGTAAAACTATGTTTTGTAAATTTTGTACATTTTTCTTTGAATAAAACAAGGATTTTCTTGATATGTGTTCAAAACAGCTGGTAAATGTATGCTGAGTTTTTGATGGTACTATTGATTTTAAATCAAAAAGATCTTGGAAATTTACATGTATCAATGGGCTAGGTACATTTTAAGGTACGTTGCGTGTGATCTTGACAGCAAAAATAGTGGAGGTGGCTTTGGCAGCCCATCCACCCCCCACCCCCCCCCCACCCCCGTTTTCCTGATGATATTCTGTACCTGAGAGTGGACTTGTTAAGGATCGAGATGGAGTGTTATGATCCGGAACTATATAAGACAACATATCCCAGTAGTGGTCTAAAAAAAAGTCGGGGAAAAATTACCGTTTATACCATCTGGACTTTCTACCTACATGTACGTTGTACACTAAAATAAAATACTTTCACAACAAAATTGATATAAGCTTACCAAAAGACGAGGAAAGTACTATAGTATCATAGTGGTCACATTTTCAAAGTTTTGTATACAGGGTACGTGTAATAATCTGGACAAAGACTGACCAGAGCAAACCAGAGTATTTGGGGGGAATTTAGTAAACCAATAAAATACAAGATCTCAAAACTAAAACCCAATAGAAATAGAGAACATATAGAGACTTATGGCCAGGACCTTAATTATGACCCTGCAGGCATTAATCAGGAGGTATGTTACACGCGAGTGATTTTATTAAACGGAAATTAATATCTTAAAATAAAATATATACATGAAGAAAACATGAACACCTAATAATTATATTCATTATTTTGTTAAACAATATATGAAGTCAAAGAAATCCAAAACCATCCATGTAACTCGGTGCATGGCGGATCTACATAAAGACAGTCACTATCCATCTTGCTCGGTGGCGGATCTAAGGGGAACACACTTTTTCGTTCCGAAATACGCATAAATATAAATTACAAGAGTGAATGGCCCGCCTATTTTGGAGAAAAAACAATTTTTGCTTTTTTCCCTATAGACATGCTTCTTCAACAAATGGAAAGGCTCCCCCCTTTATTCAGTGATTTACACCGCTTAGCAATTAGCAGTACTTAAGTGACAACGTATCGATCTATAGTTGCCCTCCTTCCCCCATATCAGCACTTACAACACTACTTTTTAGCTCTGTGAATGCTCAAGTGAGCTTTTTCCATTGTCTGTCAGTCTGTAAACTTTTACCATTTTCGACTTGTTCTTATGAACCAATTAAAAAACTAAATTCAACCAAACTTGCCCTAAATTAAACCTTCTTTAGTGTAGGGAATTCAAGTTTATTCAAAAGAAGAGTCGTGAACATCCTCTTTTAAAAAGAGATAATTAGAAAAAAGTGAAATATGCTACCATCTTTAACAAGAGGCCCATGGACCACATCACTCACCTGAACACTTTGGCTATAGAGAAAAGCAGAAATCAGTTCAGTATTGAAAAGTTTAAATATATATCTCCTCAATTGGGGAGGCGGGGGGCAAGGTTTTTACGAACTGGAATCTATACAGTATGTGGATACTTATATATATTTTGACTAATCATGGCTTTAGAAGACTTTTTTTTTTTTTTTTTAAATCCCATATATTTCTACACCAAAGTTTGATCTACTATTGTTCCCCCTACCCCGAGGGTCATGGTTTGTATACTACTGAGGATGCATCTATATTGATATGAACAATCTTGATGTTGCTGTTCTTGAGAAGAAGACTTTTCAAAGATATTTCTACATGTACATGTATATTACGTAATTGTCACGTGATATTTCTCTATACATGTATACATGTATCGGCTCGATATATATATATATATCCCAGTGAACTTGAAATAAAAGTTACCACAGCCTGACACATATGACACATCACTTTTGGATATTTTACTAGAAAAAGACGTTAATGGTAACCTAACAACAAAACTTTATGATAAAAGTGACAACTTCAACTTTTCTATCGTCAACTTCCCTTACTTACGTAGCAATATGCATTTATCACAAGTATATAGGATTTATATCTCCCAGTTGATTCGATACGCAAGAGCATGCTCCACGTACGAACAATTTCTAAAACGAGGCAAGCTATTCACAAACAAGTTGATGAAACAAGGATATCAACAGTCTCGTTTAAAATCATCATTTCGCAAGTTCTATGGTTGATATAATGACCTTCTCAGCAAATACAATCTATCATTAAGTTGAATGTTGACTGACATATTTCATACTTATTGTTAGGCCATTTTTTAAACACTGAATTGCCTATGGATTTTTCCGTTTGGCCGATCATGACAATGAGCACACTGCTGGTGTGACCTGTCGACAGGGAATGCTATTTCCTCCATGGCACCTGATCCCATGCACCTCTGATGTTTTTTAGAGGTCCGTGTTTGCTCTGCTCCCGATTTGTATTGTTTCAATGGACTTTTGAGTTTGATTACTGTTCATTTTCTCCATCCCTAACAAAAAAATACTATAGTTAACTATAGTTAACTATAGTAAATCAAAGTGTCAAAGTTATCACTATAGTAAATCAAAGTTTTCAAAGTGATCACTATAGTGTCATAGTGATCACTATAGTAAATCAAAGTTTTCATAGTTATCACTTTAGTTAATCAAAGTGTCAAAGTTATCACTATAGTAAATCAAAGTTTTCATAGTGTCAAAGTTATCACTATAGTTAACTATAGTAAACTATAGTTAACTATAATATTTTTTGTTAGGGATATTTCATGGTTAAAAGTTTTTTCTCCGTTCTTTTTTATACTGATTTAAATTATATATTTTTACTCTTCAAAACACATTCATTCTATCAATTTTTCTAACATGACTTTCACTTGCAAAGTGTCCCCGTAAAATAATTTATGTCCTCAGACAGACATGAGCAAAGACTGAATGCTTTAGGTATATAGATAATAATGGGGGAGGGGGTTTAACATCTACTGTTACAAAAACAAACAAACAAACAAACAAAATGAAATCTAAACAAATTGCCGTAACCTGAAAACCCTATTTAATTCGTAGTGGTAGTGATGGAGGGATGGAGGAAGGAGTCGACATTTTCCCTTAGTCAAATTTGTTCTGTTAGATGACTTTCCTTACCATTTTGAAAGGGGTCTTTGTTTTTTGGAGAGGTCTGTGTTTCTTAGGGGGTCTAAGGTAATTTTTCTCACTACTTTAACATACATGTAGATATTTTTAAAATAACTCTGAAAATTCTAGGGGTATAGGAATCACACATATCCCATAGATCCGCCAGGAGATGACCAGGAGCTTTAAAATTAAATTCTAATATGTTCTCCCCGAGGGTAGGGAACCTCTACTCTCCACCCCAGTCATGTATGTTTCAGTCATTCCGAAACTCTGCTAATGTGTCTGTTTTGTTTTACCAATTTTCTAACTCTAATTTTTCTAACACAATTGCATGCCCCCCCCCCACCCCCAATAATTTCTACGGATCTATTTTGGACATACATGTGTATATCATTTTGGATAAAACTGACCGAGTTAATTGAAGTGATGGATCGGCATCTATATTATTTACAATATATAAATGTTTTGTTTTTAAGAGGAAATACCCCTTCTTCCGATTTACTTCTTCCTCGCCTTTACAGTTTAAAAATTCCCAAATCCGCCAAATTTTGTTATTATTGTAAGAACTACGCACACTAACTCTCGATTCCCGCCTACATTTTCCATCCATTTAATTCAATATAAATGGCAATTTGGACATAAAAACTTGTTTGAATGCAAAGAAAAGTTCATTAGTATTAAGTACTAATTTTAAAAACCAGACGTGACAAAAAGTTAATTGCTCTTATTTACAACTCCTTTCATAAGGGGGTAGAAAATTTTATCAATTGAAATCAGGCTGAAAACATCACCATTTTCAAATACTCATGAAAATGAAAATGGATAAACGACTCTTAAATCTCACCGTATGTTTTAACTTATGTAAAATTTAACATATGAGATTGATAAAGTGATAAAGTACATTTTTTATTTGTGATCTCATTTGAAATTGGTAATAAAATTTTTTTTTCCTGTTTTTAATCTTAAAACACGTCCCCCCCCCCCCGTGAGACAACAAAGCATAAGATGTCAACCCCTCCCCTCCCCCCGCCGAAATAGGTTTTTTACGTTTAGGAAGGGAGTTTACGTTTTTTTTTTGTTTTGTTTTTTTTTTTTTTGGTCAAGAAATTTCTGGGTTGGATATTTTTTTACTGGGGTGGACCCCTCCTGTAAAAAAAAAAAAATCCTGGATCCGCGCCTGGTTTTATGAAAATTCACATAAATATCAATATAAATATGAAAATTTATTCAAAGATGTGTGGCAGTTGGCAGTGAGCAGTTGGCGGTAAGCAGTTGGCAGTAAGCAGTTGGCTGTCGTATATGGAATTCCATAATTTATTTTATGTTTCTTTCTTTTTTTTTCTTTTTTTTTTATTGCAAACCTCTTTTAAACTAATCCAACCTTTACACAGATGAGGTAATATACATTTTATTTAAATAATCAGGTTCTATGTACAGTAAAAAGAAACTAGTGAACTTCCTCTGTTAGTCTGTTGTTATAAATATCCAACCAAAACCTGTTTTTTTCCCCATTGAAGGAACAAACTTCAATTTTTATAAGTGTTTTTAGAGAGTTTCTCAGGTTTTCTTAATCCTGTTCTCCTGAAATACATTATAGCAAACTAGTTATAAAAAAAAAATTTCACATCTATGTTAAACATGTTGTTTATCCCTTAATATCCACGTGTATGATATCTGTCATATCAATCCAGATATATAGAAATTTAAATTTCTTTAAAAAAAATTAAATTGAGGTAAAATAGGTCATTAAAGTAAATTATTTCTACACTGCATTTTTCTAGAATAACTTTTTAAAATTTTATTAATCTTGATTCATAAAATTTCAGCTTGTGTATCGGCAGTTCTACAAGCCGAGTTCTTTAGGAGAAGTAGGAACTTTGAGCCAGTTGCGAAATTTTGTTCACAGAATTGATGTCCATGGGGGTGACGAAGTAATTCAAAAATACAGGTATGTATAATTTTTCAATCTATTGATTACTATCAATGAAATGTAAATTAAGAAATAAACTAAAATTTCAGTAACACTGAATAGCAATAGAAAAAACCCAAGAAATGAAAAAAAAAAAAAAAAAAAAAAAAAAAAAAAGAGAAAGAAAGAAACAAGACTTGTGAAGATTGTGCCTCCACCAGAGCTTGCAGTCACATTCATTTATGCATCATGATTGTTTGGCCAGAATTAAGTTTCCTTGCACAAACACACACAGACAATCTTTGATTTATAAAAAGGAACCTAACTGTAAGGTTTCATAAAGCAGTCACTTTTATTTCATGTTTGAAGGAAACAATTTTTTTTTTAAATTTTAAATTATTTTAGAGCTCACTATGCATTTTTGATGGACTGCTTGGATGCTTTGATCACAGGAGCATGCCTACATCTTCTTGAAAAGGACAACTTAGATTCCAAACCAAACCGGAAGCAAGAGCTTTTTGAGGCTCAGTCTACAGATGACAAGTACAAATTTCTTCGGCAAATTGCCAAGGATATACTAGATAGATATGTAAACCTTAATCCAGGTAAGATACTTTTTAAAGATGAAGTTTGGTCCTTTGTCATGGTGCATAATACCTTGAGAATACTTATATCGCGATTACCTCGCAGTTATCAAATTACTGTCGCTCTTGTGTGACAGAGTCGAGGAAGCTCTAAATCTCGCAAGATTACCGGGGCATTATATTGTTTACAGTAGTTATGTACAAGCTTATCTTTTAAAAAGATAGGTGAGCTAGCGCTGTAGCTATCATAAACCACAGAATTAGATATCTAAATTATTGGATTAATTTGCTGAATCGATTAAGGGGACGACCATTTGATTCTGAGGAGGGGGGTCGGGGGGGGGTCTGGCAAAATTTTTCGAGTCAGATTATTTATTTTCATGCCAGTCAAGGACAGATTGTTTATTTTCAAGATGATCAAGGTCAGATTATTTATTTTCTTCTTCACTGAAAAAACAAACAAACAAAAAACAAAAAAAAGTTCAAACGGGGGGGGGGGATAAGTAGCAATAGTCAAGGACAGATTATTTATTTTCTTGCCGATCGTGGAAAGACAGTTATTTATTTTCAACTATTTTTGAGGACAGATTATTTATTTCCAAAATCTGCCCCTCCCCCCTTCAGAATCAAATGGTCGTCCCTAATTATCAATAGGAAGACACAGTGGTACACTTGAGGTGGTGTTGGGGGGATGTGTCTTAATTCAGAATGGTGAATCTAGAGTGGGTTTTCACATTGGCAATGGCATGAATCATTAACTGTGCTTGAAGCATTCTGTAGTTTACTGTAATTTCAATATTGAAGTGAAAAATAAGAGATAAGTAGAACCAATGAACACCTAGTTTAAAAATATTCCAGTGTGGTACTGTTCTGTAGCAATCGCATCCTTTCGGACCTTTCAGGCAAGCTCTGAAAACATCCGAGGTTGTTTTTCCGAGCTTGCCGGAAAGATCCAGGAAGATAGTTAAAAATAGCTAGTTTTTTAATTATAATTTTAAAAATTATAACTGATCTGTACAGTTCTGGCAGTAACTGTTACCTTTTGTACATTTATTTAAGATTAGACAACAAAACACGAAACTTCAGATCATATGTATTTTCAGATTAAAAAACGAAATTGACATGGTACATTTATCTACAGTACTAGTATTCCCAGAATGCCCTACCGTGAAGTCGAGCATACGTATTCCAGTAAAAAAGACTAACGTACATGTAGTTGCTAGCGCTCGAGAGCGCTATAGCAATAACAATCGGATCATTACTCGGGCTTTTCCGTCAAAAAAGGAAAAATGAAAAATTAAAGATTTATAATATATCAGTGCTATTGCATTGTATCAATCGCTTCTCGTGTCTGTCCGACATACTCTGAAAGATTTCCTGGGGTTTTTTTTTCTGAGCTTGCCGGAATTATCATGTACATGGTTAGCTGTAAGGAAAGCTAGGTTTTACCAGTTGATCTCTACAATCTTGGCATTATATGACCCAAATTTTTCTTGTACTTTTAATCTTAGGTTAGACAATAAATTTAGAAATTTAGATTTCGGATCATATCTATTTTTTATGATAAAAAGAAATTATCATCGTACAGTCTATCTTCAGTAGTTTTCCCAGAATGCCCGACCGTGAAGTCGAGCATGCGTATTCCAGAAATATAGACTAACGTAGTTGCTAGCGCTCGAGAGCGCTAGCAACAATCGAATGATTCAAACAATCATTATGCCGAAATAGCAATGTATTGCCGAGGGTTGAACTCAAAATAGGTTGTCTAATTATGAATGTTTAGAGTATTTTATCAGTTTCCAAAAGTAACGATTTTCAGAAAGAAATGGTTGAATTTAATTAAAAGAGTAAGCTTAATGAAAAGTATCATAAAAAATACAAAACATGAGGACTAGCTCCTCCAAAATTTTATTAGCGGGGTTCAGCAAGTGTTCAGCAAGATATTTCACCAGGCATTCTTTCTTATCTGTCCTTATAAAATCCACAGTGATCGATCTCGTGCTGTATTCAATAAACATTGGCCCCAGCCAACAGACGTTTCCTACCTCCACTATGAAAGAGTTCCATTAAGTAATCGTAATATCAAGTATTCTAGTATTAAACAGGCATGTTATCATGTCTACTGGAGTTATAGAGTAGGGTTTCCTCCATAATAGCACTTGTGTCGCATAAAAAGAATTGTTTTGCAAAGAATATTTTTTTGTTTAAATATCAATTAGAAATATATGTACTGTATACAGAGAAATTTTCGCCCCCGTTTTATTTTCGCCATACCCACAGATGGGCGAATTTTAAAACGGGGCGAATTCAAAGAATGCGGTATAATTTCTTAAACAAAACTGTGACTGGGCGAATTTAAGACGGGGCAAAATTGTTTACAAGTGTGAAAGGGCGAAAATAACACAGGGCGAAAATAACCCTGTATACAGTAATAATGAGCCCCAAAAATTTAAACATATCACTTCCTTGATAAGACTGAGTAAATTTACAGTAGTGAGGTGTTAGACATTTTCAACTCTTTTCTTGCATCTTTACTTAATACTCTTTAAATAAATAACCTTTTACTTTTCCTTATCTTGGTAGATTTGAGAAGATTCGAGGAGAAAGTACAAGAATTAGATGTCCAAAGTCAACAAATCAAAGACATGTTTGATCATAGACTGCAAAAGTACATCTGTGTATCTTGTGAAAAACAGTACAAAAAAGTAGGCCATTTAAAGAGACACTTAAAAGAAAAACATTTGTGGGATTTCACAGAGACTGAAACAGAAGAAGAGGAAAAACCATATAGAATATCCTTGTACAGGGCTTCACTAATGAAATGTTTGTTATTGCTTAAAGACACCAATGATGGATACAATATGGGAGATGGAGACAGAATCATGATAAATGCTAAGTTTCAGATGTTGCTTTCAGGGGTATGTAACCACACAAAATACCAGATCTGGTTATTTAGATTCTTGGCATATTATCATTGCATTCTGAGTCCCAGAGATGCTCACGAATACAAGTGGAACTGTACATCAAACCTCTCTGGTGGCACTGGCCACAACATACTAAACGACAATTTAGTTGAAATAATGGTCCATAGATTGAAGGAAAAACTACGTACACAAGGAGCAAACGTTACATACGAGAGTGCAAGAAAGGCAGCCCTGTCACTTCAAGTACAAGATCAAATTAAACAGAATGCCATGCATGAAATTGCCTTGAAACCAAAAGGAATAACCCGAACAGAGCCATCCAAGAAGACTGATGTTGAATTAATTATAGACCAATTCAAGAAAGCTGAAATTTTTGATTGTGTGCCTGGAAGGCAATTTCATGCCTTTTCTTCCTTTCAGGACTTATTTTCAAGGGTAAAAGATGTAGAATTACATAAATGGATTCAAAGCCAGCTGAAAGAAGCATTGTCATATGAGATTGTATAAATGTTACGATCACAGTATTAGAATAAGATTTTTAAAAGTGGCACTAGGTGTTTTTCTTATTTTTAGCTATACTCAGGCCCGTAGAACGTGGTGGTGGTGGGGGGGGAGGGGGGGTCGCCCTACTTTTTTTCTGAGTATAGTATTTTGCTATAGTAAATTTTCCTTTAGATGCTGGTTGCCCCCCCCCCCCCCCACTCCCACTTTTTGATGTAAGGTAGAGCACTAGCAAATTCCAGGATTTGGGCAGTAAATAAGCCTTTTTTTTTTTTTTGCTTGTCAGATAATTTTGGGAAGTTGCCTTCCCCCCGCCCCCCCCCTCCCCCCCGGTCAGTTTATGTTTTTTTTTTTGTTTTTGTTTTTTTTTTTTTGCTTGTCACATTTTTTTGGGGAAGCTGCCCCCCCCCCCCAAACTTTTGAAACCGTTGCTACAGGCCTGATACTGGTCAGAGATTAGAAGAGCTTATGCAACAGTATTGCGTCTGTTGTCCATCCATCTGCCTGTAAACAGATTTTCAAAATGTTATTCCTCCTAGAGTTAAATAACTCTAATTTCAGTATGACTTAGTACATATCTTTGCAAGTTCACTAAGATATATAATTCTGTATATTGATTTATTTTATTTCAACAAATTATGTTGCCATGGTTACAAAAAATTGTAATATATCTGTGAAATTCTGTCAAACGCTACTTCTACAGTTTTTGTCCAATTTCAATAAGATTTGATACTTAAATACACATGTATTCTTAGATTCACCAGGTACACAACAGTATGCTTCAGGTCTCATCAGAGACTTCTGGTTTGACGTATTTTAACAGAGGGAAAATTCAATGGCATATTTCAAGTGGTGTGTGTGTGTTGTCATCCTTACAGTGATATAGACAAAAAAGACAAAATAACCTTTGAAATAGATCCAGGACATGGAGCACTTTTAGACTTAATTCATTTTTCGATTATTCATAAAATCAATATTTATTCTAAACTAACTATTGAAATAAAAAATTAAGAACGAGAATAGGAAACAATTTTAAATATTTTAAATTTTATGTTTTTTTCTGTCATCCATAAAATTTTATGCAAATTCTGATTTGTCTAAAGCGACTTTATGCTGTTATGGTCAGAAATTTAGATGTATGAATCTTCCATACTGTGGCAACACTTTAATGATATTTTTTCCCTTAAATATGTTAAAGGTATACAGAAAATTATGTTACGATTCAAATTTCATCTATACACAGTATCAGTAAAAATTAGGGATGCGCGATTTTATCGGTATACCGGTAAATCGCGATTTTTCATTGCGTGATACGTATCGTGATACGAAGACTAAAATACCGGTATTTGGTACATAACTATAAATATCGAAAATTATTCATTTATTTGTTCAAACTATTGAATGACAATTATAGGAAGTGTAAAAAAAAGGTTGAAAACAGTTAAACAACGGCATCAAAATAAGCTATATATTAAATAAATGAAAATTTAAAAAGTTAAGTTATGTTTTTATAGCATATTTTTAAGAAATATGATGGAAATTCATTTTAAATTGTAGTAAAAATTGTGTGTAAAAATATCACGATTTATTGTGATATTTTTAGGGAAAAATCGTGATATTATACAGTTATGGAATGGGTATGAGGGAAATAGCAAATTTATGGTTCCCCGAGGGAGGAAACTATTTCCCGAGGCGGCGAAGCCGCCGAGGGAAATAGTTTCCTGCCGAGGGGAACCATAAATTTGCTATTTCCCGAGTACCCATTCCATAACTGTTTTATTATACCGAAACAAACAAAGGAGATTTATTAACTAGAGACAGACATTTTTAAAACAATATAGAGGCATTTATATAAATAATCAAAAATGCATGTGATTCCAATTTTGTTAAATATATAATGCATCAATACGGAAAAAATAAAATTATTTAAAAAAAATAATGATTTCACTGACATTTCGAAGGATTATCGTTGTCCTCTTTTTGCTTAGAAATTAGCCCCTTCACGGTAACTGCGGTACTACTCTTTTGCAGGGCAAAATAAGAACGTTTGGCGAAGTTTTTGTTGAGATATAATTAAATGACGTATATTTAACAATTACTTTTACGTCATTTTTCACCAAACTATATCATTTTGCCCTGCAAAAGAGCAGTACCGCAGTTACCGTGAAACGGTCTATTCCAGTATGATTTTGACATCGCATTTCGAAATGTTTTGACGTCATAGTTACATTGCTAATAACATTACGTCACGGACTCGAGATTCCTTGAACCTCCGCCTACTGTTCACTTTAATTGGTTAAAATTAATTATAAATATTCATGAGGGAGTAGTCCCAGGGAGTAGCTCTGATTTTTCAGGGAGTAGTCCTCAGATGGAGGAAATAGTATCTTCTCGGGGAAATAGACAGTTTTATGGTATTAATTTTATATAGAGTAATAAGAGTAGAGGTATAATAAATCACGATACGAAATTTTTGCCGATACCCATCCCTAGTAAAAATGTACCCAAACCTCTTTCTAGAATGCTTTCTGAAACTTCCTCAATCAGTAATTATTTATAACAGTAAACACTATTTTCGCTGTAATATATAAAACTTTATATTTGGGCAAACGTGATGAAAAGGTCCAGGAAACTATATTGTTGAATTCAGACAAAATTTATATGCTAAATGAGATTATAACTAACGTGACTTATAAACCGAGAAAATCGGCTAAATGAGTAAAATTACATCTGCATGGATTACTAGGAAAATACTTTAATTCCTGTCACATCTGGTGCCTTGCCATGCCCTGGAAGTGAAAGGTTAAAAGTGAAAGGTCAGAAGTGAAAGGTTAAAAGAAAGTCAATGTGGAGGTCAGCGAGGAGTATAGAGAAAGTCTCTATTTTATAATACCGCGGGTATGACATTTTTCTTTAAATAAAACGTTTATTTAAGAAATAAATAACAAGTTTAAAAACTTCAATGGGAATTGAAGTGGGTCGGTCACGTGATCAAATCCTGTGAAGGCCGAAGGCCTTCTCAGAAGATTTGATCACGTACCGACCCACTTCAATTCCCATTGAAGTTTTTAAACTTGTTATTTATTACTTATATATGCATTTGAGACGGACAATCGAATGTAATCGAATATAAATATTGCACTAACTGTACGTCGTAGATTTTGACAAATTACGCTAGGTGTAAATCGGCTTGAAAAGCGGTTACGCTTCAAATTCATCTGGCAAAGGATTTTTTTGAAGGGAATATTCTGTGAAAGGCTTCTTGTGATCAATTATTATAGTGACCATATTGGTGTCTGGGAATTTTTGTATTCACGAGAGTCCATATTCGATGTTAAAAAACACAAGAAACACGTCCGATGTTTGATACTAAAAAGTTGGAGGAATTTCGGTCGGAAAGGGATGGATGGAGACACTTGTCCGGACCAGATAACTTGAAATTAAGTACAAAATTTCATCAAAAACTTAAAATCTACGATTTCAGTAAGGCATATTTATTAATTTATGATGTTGACATGGAGACACTGGCGACAGCTTACATTGTTAAGACAACGTCACAACGATCTCGATGATGGAGGTGTGCCTACCGAACTTCCAAAGTGCAGTGTTTGTCAGCTGTTTGTGGCGTGATTGCATTATATTGATATTTTTCAACAGATTTTCAAATTTATTGTGAGTAAAGTTTAATGGAAAAAAATTATAGCATTCAGAGGTCTGCGAGAAAAATAAGGGTTAACGTCGAGACTATGCAGCTCAGACATGAAACTTATAACACGTAGTTTTCTATTCTCTATGTAAAATCGATCAAGAACTGTATTAAATACTCGTTTACATTGTAAATAAAATGATTATTATTTTACTTGCGTATTTTGTACATTTTTATGCATGAAAAACATGCTATATTGCTAAGTGGAGTAAGTCTTTTTATGTAGATATTACTGCGCTGTGTGATTAGGTCACATAATGACCTATGACCTTCGAAAAACTTCATACAGGTATGAAGATATTTGCTCGAGCTGCATGTTTATATAATAGAGAGATACCACAAATGTATATATTCTGTTTTATTTTCGGATTTTTCATATGGAATACGTTTTAATTGCATAGTAGAAATATGAAAAAAGACATAAGAAATATCCTTTGACCCGGGGTAAATATTCGGGGGGGGGGGGGGGCATATAAGCGAGACTACTGGCGCGTGCAGGCGGGCACTACCTTCAACCTTCCTACAGCTCTCTCTGTAGGAAGGTTGAAGGTAGTGCCCGCCTGCACGCGCCAGTAGCCAATGACAAGAAGTGATATTTTGAAAATATACTTATTACTAATTTCCATTTTTCTTTATGTGTGAATTACATATTTTATATATATATATATATATATATATATATATATATATATATATATATATATATATATATATATATATATATATAAATGTTAAAGTGTTAATTTTTATTGTTTAATCAAAAGGGAATACATCAAAACTTTTTTTTTCAAATTTACTTATCCAGTTATACAAATAAACAAAACAAAACAAAAGAACAGCTTATTATAGCTACACAAAAATACTGCAGATTCAGAAATCTTTATTGTGCTGTGAAGAAAGGGTTCTTAAGTAAAAATTAAACATGAAGCAATCCAGCAAATCTGCTATTTATCCAACAGACATCGAGGGAAGAACTGCCACAAAAGCCATGTAAAATAGATCTATGAATTGTCATTGTAGTAGATAATACACCCTATGGTCATGAAAAAAAAATGATAGGGAAACAATTGGATTACAGCATATGTATACTTTTTTCATTTTTTTTTTCGCTGACAGTAATGATTCCATCGACATTTCCCCATAATATAGAATATAGGAAGCGGTTTCTTGAAGAAATATAGAAGAGTCAACTTACATGTAATTCCTTGTAATTATGAGCTATTCAGTATGCATGACTGCAATTCACAATTCAAATTTTTGTTCAATGCACTATATTTTAGTCTATTAGTTAGGAGGAAAATTGATCCCGTCGTCTTAAGTCAGCATAGATATATTTTAGAGGAACAAATGTGAGAAATGTCCTTGTTTTATTTAAGGGTTATCTTATTTTCTACGTTACAATTTCTTACACCAGTGGCATGCTTTTTTCATGAGTCTGACAGCTATTTCCCGACTATTCATCCATTTAAATGGACCGTGTGCCTGTTCAAGGTAAGGTGTTTACTACATGTATCATGTGATTTGGATCCTTCTCAAGCATTATCAATCGAATCCTCTCATGTCTTTACAGTTAAACCATTCAGCCCTGTTTTTTTTTTTTTTTTTTTTTTTTTTTTTTTTTTTTTTTTTTTTGAGAGCTATGCTTTAATTTATCCTGAAATTTATTTCCGTGATCACATGACGTCCAATCTATTTCGAGGTAGTTTACTAGGTATTGTGCGTAGCCTCATTTAGCGCATTACATTTTTGGCGGTAATCGTATTTCTTCAATAAACGCAACTTTAGACATTGGTATTTCAATAAAATGCGAGTATTTCCAGTTTTGAATAAAACGGTTTTTTTTTTTTCAAATATTCTCATGTAAAAGTTTGATTCTCTATAATGCCCCCACTCTTCCTCTGTGGACCAAACTTTGAACAAACTTTTACTTGCAGTATCTTTGAATGTTTGCATATCATAACATTTAAGTAAAAGCTGTTTTTTAGTGATCAAAGTAGGTTAGAGTAATAGCACAATATAAAATCAAACGCTTTTTGTAAATCTTTTTTGAAAAAAAGCAGAACCATGAAAGTTGGGCATTGGGGTACATGTGCCTCTTGTTTAACTTCTTCAAACAGAAACAAACTAATGATGTCACATGTCCAATCCATTCTAATTCTGTAGTTCTTGATGAAAAATCTTCAGTATGGGATGCTGCAGTTCATTTATAGAAAAATTGGAAGACCGTGAAAACAATAACCAGGAACAGACACGCCAAGAATGTTATGACTGTAGACGCAGGGATCAGGATAAAACATGCGAAGATTCATTGAAAATTAAAGTCTTTGGAAATGAGGAAACGGATCGAAATGACATTACAACGGAAATCAAAGACAGCAAGAACAAAGATTTTCAGGAACTGAAGCATGAAGATTTCTGGAAATCAGAGGTATTGTAAACTTACCGCTGGTGTGTGAGGGCAGGGTTGCTTAAAGTATGTATAATATAATTACCAGAATCGTACCAAGCTGTGCTGTTTTACCCGAAGAGCGGTAACTCGAGGTAGATCATTGCAAAACTACTTAATTTTATTCGTGAAAGTGCTTCGTTGTATATAACGCAAAAGTTATTCTTTATTCGCACAAGTTTCGCGTGCTAATTCAAAAGCTCCCCGCTCTGTATACCCTAGAGTGTATTCGTAAATATTTTGCATATATCTTTAAAAAGTTTCGCGTTATAACACAAAAATTATTTCTTTTTCCAACAATTGTGTGTTTAGTTGGCTTTTGAATGTTTAGTAAGTGCATGTTAGTTTTGCGTTATAAGGCGAAATTTACACCTTTATTGGCAATAATAAAACTTTTATGTTAGAACAAAGAAACTTTCGTTTATAAGTCACAAAAGTTTAGCGACAATGATGCGTTTATTCATGAAAATTTTGCGATTTTCCGCAAAAGTTGTCGTTCTTTCCACGCGTTCTAACCCAAAAGTTACGCGTTCTTACCTAGAAGTTACGCATTCATTTGCATAAGATTCGCATTTATTCACAAACGATCTATGGGTGGGGCCAAAATATGGAGGTGACATATTTTTTGGGAATAAAAAGGATTTTTTTTTAATCTTGCGAAGAACAGCATGGCTAACATTACTAACGTAAACGTTCTGACCCATGGATCAATTGTTACTATTTCTAGACAATCATAATTTTGCGAATTATAATAATACATGTAACAATTCTTTTCTTAATTTATAACTATTTTTAATACCTATTATAGATATGCCATTGCCCTGATAAAAATACGATGTACGAAGGTAGAAGAAAAAAGAAATTGCCACCATGGAAACATTGGTTTAGAGGCAATGAGGTGTATGGACACCATATCTGTGCTTCTAAAGTAGAGCTAGCTTATGCAAAAGGGTATCCCTCCCGTAACTGTAAGCCGATTTACGGATATGATCCATTAAAATCCGTGAATCAAGTTGTCACGGATCCCCCAGAAGTTGATTTAGATCTCGTTAACGTGGTTCCCCCGGCACCCCCCCCCTCCAGTGGTGCCTGTATGAAATTTTAAGACGTGCAGATGGAATGATGCATATGTACCTCAACAAATGTACTAAATCCCTGTTTTATATATTTCTGTTTTATGTATATGTTTCTTGCAAAGTAAATTTCTACTTGAAACCCAAATAGAACAGTAAAAGAATAAAAGAATTTCGTTTTTCTTTGGAATAATTTTGAATTGCTAAGAGAAGAAATTGAATAAAAAACTGTTTTGTTGATTGTATCATGTGTATAATGTCTAGTTATTACTAAATAGCATATTGAACAGAAAGCGATAGAATATCCTTAGCGTTTTTTCCTGTTAGAAACACGGGTACTTGACGTTTTATCAAAAAAACATTTTCTTTACTTAAAAAATGTTATCCTGTATACATGTATATGTTAAAACGCGTAGTTTTTTGTTTGTTTGTTTTTTTAATCAAATTACTATTGTCTTAAGTTTTGGGGTTAAAAGGTATTGCTTACGTTGAGTAAAATGTTGAGAACAAATATGTTGTGTCTTGAATAAAATGTGTACCTTGTCTCCACGTTTGGTCATCATGGTGGATGTATATGTCAAACTTCATTAGCGGAGTATCAGCCCCTGAATTTGCTACAGGTACTCGTGGATAGGACCCCTCACCCCACCCCCAATATTCATCCCCGGGGCGTCTTGGATAATTTCTTTACAAATTATTTTTATAACAGTTATTGATCACGAATACCATAGGAAAAATCGGGGAAAACGCAAAAAAATCGTTCAATATAAAAAAAATCAAAAGGGGGGGGGGTAAATTCTTTAAAAAAAATCTGACAAGTTAAAAAAACAGGACCAAAAGAGGGGGGGACAACTTCCCAAAATAATCTGACAAGCGAAAAAATAAACAACAACAATTAATCCTGGAATTTGGCGGTGCCCGACCTTACAGCAACAAAAAGTGGGAGGCCAACCAGCATCTAAAGACAAATTACTATATGTAGCAAAATACTATACTCAGAAAAAGAGAGCGTCCCCCCCAACCCCACCCCGCGTTCTACGGGCCTGTTTTTTTGTATGGAACGATTATTTTGCGTTTTTCCCCCGATTTTTCCTACGGTATACATGATAAGTAAGTATAAATAAATAAATATAATTTGTGAAGAAATGTCGAATTTAAGAAGCCCCGGGGTTGAATATTGGTGGGTAGTGTACCAATTAGGTAACTATGGAATTAGCTTGTCTAATTCGTCAGGGCCCTGCTTTTGAATTCCCAACACCAAGTAATGATAAGTAGCAGGCTTGGTATTAAAGAAAAAAAACTGTCAAGTCACTGTGAATGATATATTCTGACATGTTAATTTGGGGAATTTGTGTCTCTCGCTTAAGAAATAAAAAAATAAAATGGATGGGAGACCTGGAAAAAAAAGCAGATGGAGAAAGGAAACGAGGCCCATCCCATAGGGTCGGATCGCTCACCTGAGCACATTGGCTAGAAAAAAGCAAAAATCATTTCAGTATTGTAAAGTTTGAATATAAATGTGGTTCCAACATTTGATCTACTGTTGAGACCTTGCCCTACCTCCAGGGACAAGATTGGAACACATTTGAAACTACTTATACTCTAGCTGAGGATGCTTCTGAATTAATAAGACTGGCTTTGGCGTTCTTGAGAAGAAATGTTATATTGATATATCCCTTATATTCTTTTTTATAACTTTGATAACTTGCATCCCCTGTTGTGGCCCCACCCTACCCCCAAAGGTCACGATTTTAACAAAACTGAATCTACACTAGCTGAGGATACTTTAATATGACTAATCAAGGCTTTAGATTTGCTGATCTTGAGAAGAAAATTTTTCAAGATTTTTTCCCATATATTCCTATGAAAAACTTTGATTCCCCATTATGGCCCAATCCTACCCCAGGGGGTCATATCTGAACAAATCTAAATCTACATGCACCACCTGAGGATGTTTCCATTTTAGGAATGACTCTAATTCTTGGCCAAGTTATTCGAGTATAACCTGGTTTTGGCCAATTTACGCTTAATAATCCGCGAAGCGCATTATAAAACAGCGTAAACTGACCCAAACCAGGTTATACTCAAATAACTTGGACAAAAATTAGTCATTCCTTATAATTTAATTTTAAAATCATTAAACAATCAGGTTATTCAGATTTAACCTGTGTTCCTTTTTAGATATTAACCAATCAGAGGCTAGAATACAACCAGAATTAAAGTTTATCAATATGACTTTACAAGACATTGCTTTTCTTGAGAATAATTTTGAAGATTTTTTCATATTTATTCCTTTAATAATTATATTCCTGTAAAAAAAAACTTGATCCCCAGTTGTGGCCTCACCCTACCCCCAGGGGTCATGATTTGAACAAACTTGAATCTACACTATGTAAAGAAGGTTTCACATAAGTTTCAACTTTTTTGGCCCAGTGGTTCTTAAGATTTTTAAAAGATACCACCAATTTTTCACTATTTCTTGATTATCTCGCTAGGAAGAGGGAATGTCCCTTCATTTGAACAAACATGAATCCTCTTCACCCAAGGCACTTTATGCCAAGTTTGGTTGAAATTAGTCCGGTGGTACTAAGGAAGAAGATGAAAATGTGAAAAGCTTTTAACAATCATAACAACGACAGACAACAAATAAATTTGGATCAGAAAAGCCCACTTGAGCATTTAGCTCAGGTGAGCTAAAAAAGTCTAATCATGATCTTTCAGCTTTTGACCTTAAAGTTAGTAGGTTTTTTTTTTCAAAGTTAAGGAAATTTATGACCTTAAGTCTCCTTGCAAACGCCTACAGATAACTGGTTATCATCTGAAAACTATGTATGCAATATATGGATTTCTGACCTTGGTCTTTGACCTCAAAATCAATAGGGTTCTTTTACAAGTCATATTGACAAAAGGTATAACATTTCATTGAAAATCTCAGAAAACTAAAGTTATTATCAGAAAACCATTTTATACAATGTTACTATGAATTTCTTACCTAAACCTTTTGATCTAAATCAATTGGGGTCTTGTTTAAGCCATGGGGGGTTGTGATATAAAATTTCATAGCAAAAGCTCAAAGGCATTTTTAGGTCACCTGAGTCACTCAGGTGACCTATTGCTATCCGTTCTCGTCCGTCGGCGTGCGTCGTGCGTCGTGTGTTAACATTTGAACATTTTTAGCTTCTTCTCTGAAACCGCTTAACCAATTTCAACCAAATTTGGCATATAGCATCTATGGGTGAAGGGGAACAAAAATTGTGAATTTCATGGTCCCTGCCCCCCTGGGGCCTGAGGGGTGGGGCTAAAACCACCAAAAATAATGCAATCTTTAAAAATCTTCTTCTTTACTCCAGGACATCAAGCAGTCAAACTGTTGGCATCATTGTAACAAGCATTGAGCCCTCTACCAAAATTGTGAAATTCATGGCCCCAGGGTCAGGGGTTCTGGCCCCAGGGTGGGCTATATAGATCATATAGTGAAAGTGCATTATTTCTTTGAAAATCTTCTTCTCTGCTCCTGGGTATTGAATAAAGTAACTAAGTACATAGTTATGATGAGCAAGAAGTCCTCTTCAGAAATTGTGAAATTCATTGCCCCTGGGTCAGGGGTTCTGGCCCCAGGGTGGGGCTATATAGATCATATAGTGAAAGTGCATTATTTCTTTGAAAATCTTCTTCTCTGCTCCTGGGTATCAAATAAAGTAACTAAGTACATAGTTATGAAGAGCAAGAGTGCCTCTTCCAAAATTGTGAAATTCATGGCCCCAGGGTCAGGGGTTCTGGTGTTAGGGCGGGGCTCTATTGATTACATAGTGAAAATGCATTAATTCTTTGAAAATCTTATTCTCTGCTCCTGGGTATTAAAAAAAGTAACTAAGTACATAGTTATGATGAGCAAGAGTGCCTGTTCCAAAATTGTGAAATTCATGGCCCCAGGGTCAGGGGTTCTGGCCCCAGGGTGGGGCTCTATAGATTATATAGTGAAAGTGCATTAATTCTTTGAAAATCTTCTTCTCTGCTCCTGGGTATTAAATAAAGTAACTAAGTACATAGTTATGATGACCAAGAGAGCCTCTTCCAAAATTGTGAAATTCATGGCCCCAGGGTCAGGGGTTCTGGGGTTAGGGCGGGGCTCTATAGATTATATAGTGAAAAAGCATAATTTCTTTGAAAATCTTCTTCTCTGCTCCTGGGTATTGAATAAAGTAACTAAGTACATAGTTATGATAGCCAAGAGAGCCTCTTCCAAACTTATGAAATTCATGGCCCCAGGGTCAGGGGTTCTGGTGTTAGGGCGGGGCTCTATTGATTATATAGTGAAAATGCATTGATTCTTTGAAAATCTTCTTCTGTGCTCCTGGGTATTAAAAAAAGTAACTAAGTACATAGTTTAATGAGCAAGAGTGCCAGTTCCAAAATTGTGAAATTCATGGCCCCAGGGCCAGGGGTTCTGGTGTTAGGGCGGGGCTCTATTGATTATATAGTGAAAATGCATTAATTCTTTGAAAATCTTCTCTGCTACTGGAGATTATTTAAACAAACTAAGTGCATGATTATGATAGGCAAGGATGCTTCTTCCAAAATTTTTAAATATGTGGCTTCAGTTTTTGGGGCTCTTGAGGAAGAGGGGGGGGGGGGCTCTATGGATTATATAGTGAAAAAGCATTAATTCTATTAATTAATCATTAATTAATCCTGTCTGCTCCTTAGCATTGAGCTGATAAATAAATTGCTTAGCTATGATGAAAATGGGAGCTTCGAACAGAATTTTTAAATCTTGTGGTCCTAGGGTCAGGGGTTCTGACATAATGAGGGGGGGGGGGGCTTTTGATAATATAGTGGAAAAGTGTTAATTCTTTGAAGTCCATAGTTATGATGATGAGGGTAACTCTTCCAAATCTGTAAATTTCTTGACCCTTGGTCTTGGGTTCTGGTGTTAGGGTAAGGCTTTGTTGAATCTGTAGTGAAAATGCATTGTACCTGTGAAATTCTTCTCTGCTTCTGGGCATATCGGAAGAAAACTGAGTAAAAGTTTAAATGATATAAGTAAGCGTATTTCTACCAGATTTTTGAACATCTGGACCATTTGTCTAAGCATTCTAGTCCCGGGCAGGGCTCTATTAATTTGTATTCTACTGAGAGAAGTTATTCCCCTTTTCCGTTCACTTTTGATAATTAATCACTGTAAATAATGTATTTGAAAGGTAAATAGAATAAAATAATTATGCAAGAATGTTTATCATATAATTCAAAAAGTATTTTCTTAGTTTTAATAATCAGGTAGACCTGTAAGTAATAGATAAATAAAAATGAGACAAAAATAACTTATCTTATTAAAAGTTCTTCAAAGACCATAAGAGAGGTCAATGCTAGAGATCTTAATATGGGTTTAAAAATAGTACAGAAGCACTAATAGTTTGTTAATAGTCTGCATGGTGATAGTGTTAAGTGGAGCACAGATTAGAACTTAATTTATGAGTTGATACTGAATACTAGACTAATTATTTTGTTGATCCTGATCTTCCTACTTCTCTTGCTTTAGGGCAAAAAAGCTTCATCTGTCAGTGTATTTAACTTCTAAATCGTTTTATTATACTCAGGTGACCGTTAAGGCCCTTGGGCCTCTTGTTTGATATCATCCGCAAACAAAAGCTTTTCACACAGACTGAATGACAGAGAGACAGACAGAGGGATGGACAGATCAAAATTAATAATCCCAACTTCGAGTGAAAGCAGGGGATAAAAATGTAAAGTAATAGATGAAACTGAGTGACTACCCAAAATTCTGGGAAATCAACATTGATTATTAATGTACAGAGAACAGCCAATGAGAACTGTACAAAAAAAGCTATACACATGTACATGTATATTTAGCTAAATAATAACAAAAATTCAAGTAAATGTGTCACAACTTTTATTCTCATACAACTTACAATCCAGCATACATGTACATACATAATCTTCTATCCCAAACAAAACTTGCACCAAATTATATATACATTTTCTTTCAATAGAGCATGTACATATTTGTCATATAAAAATATACATTTGTTAAAATGCTTTCTTTCCTGTGGTACGTGCAGCTCCAGTGTGGAAAAAAAATCATGCACTGAATGCAAGAAATAAATGAGAATTATTTGATCTAGATTGACATAAAGTTGATGAATTTTGCCCAATATTGTAAGATATAAATATTTTTCATATTTTTATATGACATCAACTAAGCAACAAGCTTGTTTAAGAAAAATAAAGTTCTTATTAAGATTTTTTTTGGTAATTTTTGATTTCTGATAATTTCTTAAAAACAATGTTAGAATGTTATCAAGCCAATGAATTCAAAGACTTACTAGTAATTAAAATCATACTTTATTTCAAATTTACAACCTAAAAGACAATGAAACTTGGCAGACACCTTCATAATATGATCTGAATACACATTTTCAAAAAAAAAATGTAACTGTTAATTTCATTTTAGACATGACACCTCTATTTATAGAACAACCAGGATAGTTGTATTTATTCTTTAACATTTATTTTGCATGTGTATAATAGTCAAACACTGTGAAGATTAAGACACTCCAGCTTAAATCATTGAATTTGATAGCCATACAAATCATGTTCTGAACACTTGCAAAAAATTAAAAATTTTCAAATGCTGATTAAATCAGGTCTGTTATATTGTTCATTTCCATAATGTTATAAAAATTTAATAAATAAATAGACTGAAATGTCATGGTCTACATAAAAACATGAATTATCATTTATGAATAAACAAACTCCACTTACTTGAAACAAAGAATAAAATGAGTACAAACGTAACAAGTACACTGCACCATTTGAACCATGCAAAAAACAATAACAACAATTCACAAATTAAAAGTGATTGTGCATAACAAAGTACTGGCTTTAAATGGACACATTATCTCGAAAAACAATAGCTTCCATACTCCACTTTCAAACAAAATTTGGGCAATTTAATTCACAATTACAGTATAAACAATGTGCAAGATTTTAGATATACTGTATAATTAAGGATGTTTACAGATGACTATTCTTATCTCCCAGTACTGAAGAGTGCTATTTATTTTGTCAAAATTGAGCATCTTAAATTATATCAATATTATTTTCATTCTGAAACAAGACATATTAAAATAAAGTTTAAAATTATGAAAATATTACATGTTAAAAGGAAATCTGAACTTAGTTGCAGTGAAAAAAAACAGTTTAAAAGTGGTGAGGGACCTATATATAACATATTTAAGAAACTGTGATTCATCAGAAAAAATGGGGGAGGGGATATCACAAAACATTCTCACTTCTTAAAGCCCTAACTAGTCGCTAAAATCCTACATGCATATATAAATTTAGTTAATCAACATAATGCTTTTCAAGAGTATACAATGCTGTGATTTTTAACAATATGTTCTCAAAGTTAACCTGGTGTTGGACAACTTTGTGTCTTAAGGGTATAGTGTCAAGGTACCTAATGTGCGATATAATGCAAAAATGAACATTATATGTACTTGTATAATGCAATTTTCCCCCATCAACTATCAGAAAAATTAATTTAAAAAAAATCAAATTTTATTATCTGTGTTAGAAGAGAGACATCATTTTATGGCACTTTGTATTTTGTTTAACATTAACCTTTCATTACTTTACCTCTGTGTTTCATGATTAATCATTAAATAATTTCTGTTTACATCTACAAGTACACTGTATCATTTGTTATGGAAGCTCTTAACACTGCTCAATGAATAGTCTTAATTCCATGGTAGTTTTACAAATATGCAGTTAGAGTGACTTGCCCCTTCAAATAGAATTCAAAATACAGAAATTTACAATGATACAGTATTCTTAACATTATATAACACCAAGATAGAGAAATTGGAAACATTATTCACATGTATTTTCCAAATGAAAGTCAATAGCAGTGATACTTCATGGTTGTTGAACAATATGGCAGATACCCTATGTTGAAAATAAACTAGATAAACTTTTTAATATACAATTTCCTCAAAGTCCAAACAACATATTCATGAGTATTTCAAGAGTGCTAGCTTCCTCAAAATGAACAGTATAGTCTTACTTGTAGCATGCTTATATCAATCTTACTTGTTAACAGAGACATGGCCTGCCATATTGAATTACATGTAGTTAAAATTTAAGTATAAAAATCCACACAGAGTACACGTAAAAATGGCAATAAATCTATAATTTTCATATAAAGTAAATTTTTGGCAACATTGCAGTTTTATACATTAGCTTGAAAACAACATTGATCCAAATAAGAAGGTAGAATCTTGAAATTATAATTAAGGTATTATGATATTTATTATAATATTCCTGTAAAATTGGGGGGGGGGGGGATTGCTGAGCCCGCAATGATCATTTTACCAGAAATTTGTTTTCCTGCAAGTAAAAAATTTTGGCATGAAATCTCCGAGGAGAATCCTTTTTTACATTGGATACATTTAAATTTACTTATCTTTTGTCTAAAGTCAGCTGATTTATTAGGAAAGTTTATAAATGGGAGCCACACAACAAATAAAAAGTTGATTTTCATTTGATTGGCCATTAGTTTACTATACATTTAATTTGTAATTCATTCATGAAAATTTATCAATTTTTATCACTTTCTTTACAAATGTTTGAATGTACAAATGTACCCTTATTCTATGGTTAATATTTCTAATTTATTGAACACCTAATGTGTATCATAGACTTGCAGTGAAGACATTGGGCAAGTCTGCAGAGATTTTCTTCTCATATACGATACTATTGGTTTGTTTGTTTGTTTGTTTGTTTATTATTTCAAAGCCATATGAATTACAGGTAAATAATTTAAGACCCTCATCAAATGAGTCCCATAATTAATAAAGCACTATTGCTTATCTAGAAGCTGCAATTTCCTTACCCTTACTTGGAGGTAGTGTTTTTCTTCAAATTACTCAAAAATCCTGTCCATTAAAACAATTTTGAAATGTAATAAAAACAACTGCTACATGTAGCTGGACATGAACATATTTGGCATTAAAAACAAAAGTTACAGATTCAAAGCAATGCCAAGCACCATTTCCATTCAACTTTTAATGAGCTCAGATTTCTTTCTTCAAAAGATAATACAGTTCACATTTACAAAATTACAATGGCACTGAACACTTAAAATTTCAAATATATAAATTTAAAAAGGCCTAAAAGAAATTGTAACAACATTTTAACTAAATTAATCACAGCTTTAAAGTCAGAATGAATCTGATTTGACCATATACATGATATACAACATATAAAAGGAAGATTTTTTTTAAATGAAAGTTTTAAATAAGCAGAAAGAATCTTCTCTTAAACATGTTAAAAGATATTCTCAGTGTAAACAAAATCATCAAAGGGTATATATCAAACAATGCTTTATCTAACAATGTTCCATGAAAATGACTCATGCCAATAAGTATTTGGGCTGATCATTACAAAAAAAACCCCTCTAATGTGGATTCCTGAGGGCTGAACAGACTAGGAACACAAGAACACATAGATAAAGCAATACTAATGACCTTGTCTGATGACCTTTGACCTCCAATATTTTGTTTTAACCAGTGTATAGTGTTTATATGTAACAACCAAGGTCACCGTCCCTTAAGTTTACTTGTGATCCACTCCAGGCCTTGATACAACCTAAAATTATAACAAAGGAATTGTCTGAAAATAATATGATTAACTACATAAATGTACATGTATGTAAAACAAGTTGATATCTGAAAATAATGCAGATTTCATTTACTATGACAATTAAATTGCTTTTAATCTTCAAAAACATTTTTTACTTCGAAAACAACTTTTTTTTCTTTCGAAAATAATTTTTTTCCTCCAAAAACACTTTTTTTTCCTTTGAAAACAATTATTTTCTTTAAAATTTTTTTTTTTTCATTCTCAAAAACCTGTGATCAATTTTAAAATGAAAAAAAACCCCACATTAATTAAAAAAAAATTATAGATGAAAGAATCGTTCTGCTTTTCTAATGCTGACACTGCCCCAGCTCCTGAGGATAACTTACCCTTCCCCTGAGAGGGCACAGCAGCCCTGTATGTGCCAGGGATGGTCTTTAATGGACGTTAAATTTAAATGCTGAGAAATCTCGGCAGCTGACATGGAGCCTTTAATATCTTGCTTGTTTGCAAAAACCAAAATGGCGGCCTTCTTAAGATCCTATAAAACAATAGTGTATAAAGAAAACTAACAAATTTTTCAAACTAAAAAAAATAAGTGTATACATGTATGCATTAAAATTTAAAACAAAAATTCAAACTCAGAATTTTAGTCAATAACCTAGCTTTTTCCTGTAATTTGCAACTACACCTATATTCTTATTATGCAAATGCATGCAATCATCTGCATATTTTTGCATCTATCACTCTATAAACAGTCCTCATTATTTATATATAGATAATTCACCTGTAGGGCATATGACCTACATAGGTTACATAAATATGTCATGACTGTACAGTCCCTTTTTATCACATGTTACACGAACTAAATATATCTTGTGCACTTTCTATGCATGCTCTCCTACACTCTTTTAATTAACAGAGAGAGAGAAAAGATATCTGCTGACTCATGCACATTGTATGGATTTAAAAAAATAATAATGTATTTAGTATTAAAAATTAGTATAAATATTTGTTCAAAAATATGAATTTTTAAATTATAAATCTCAAAAACACATGGAAAGTGAATTCACTGATATGTATATGCCTGTAATATTTGGACAAAAACTATAAATCCCAAAAATTATCAAATTATTACAGGTAAGTCAATCTATAAAGTCAGTAATGATACCTGTATGTATATGAGATGTGAGTTGGTCTGACAAAATCAACACCACCACACTGTGGCAAAGAAAAAACAAGATGTGTTTGTGAAACACTGATGCCCCCGTATGGCAGCTTATGGCGAAGGTTAAAGTTTCTTCAAATGCAAGTCAAAATCAAGGCCAAAAGATAAGAAATGTTGATACCCAAAGAAAGGTCTTGTCTCAAGGAATACACCTATGAAATTTGAAAGACCTAGATACAACTCTTCAGAAGTTATGACGAAGGTTAAAGTTTTTTGAATAAAAGTCAAACGTCAAGGTCAAGGTCAAAGTGGTTGGTATCCAAAGGAAGGTCTTGTCACAAGGATTACATATGTGAAGTATGAAAGCCCTAGCATCAACCATTCAAAAGTTATGGCCAAGGTTAAAGTTTTTCAAAAGTAGGTCAAACTCCTAGGTCAAGGTCAAAAGGTCAAAGTGGTGGTTGGTATCCAAAGGAAGGTCTTGTCGCAAGGATTACATATGTGAAGTATGAAAGCCCTAGCATCAACCATTCAAAAGTTATGGCCAAGGTTAAAGTTTTTCAAAAGTAGGTCAAACTCCTAGATCAAGGTCAAAAGGTCAAAGTGGTGGTTGGTATCCAAAGGAAGGTCTTGTCGCAAGGATTATATATGTGAAGTATGAAAGCCCTAGCTCCAACCATTCAAAAGTTATGGCCAAGGTTAAAGTTTTTCAAAAATAGGTCAAACTCCTAGGTCAAGGTCAAAGGGTCAAAGTGGTTGATATCCAGAGGAAGGTCTTGTCACAAGGAATACACATGTGAAGTTTGAAACCCTAAGCACCAACTGTTCAAAAGTTATGGCCAAGGTTAAAGTTTTTCAAAAGTAGGTCAAACTCCAAGGTCAAGGTCAAAAGGTCAGAGTTGTTGATATCCAAAGGAAGGCCTTGTCACAAAGAATACACATGTGAAGTTTGAAACCCCAAGCACCAACTGTTCAGAAGTTATGGCTAAGGTTGAAGTCTCATAAAATTTTGCAAAAGTAGGTCAAACTCCAAGGTCAAGGTCAAAAGGTCAAATATGATGGTACCCAAAGAAAGGTCTTGTCACAAGGAATACACATGTGAAATATGAAAGTCATAGCTCCAACCAATCAAAAGTTATGGGCAAGGTTAAAGTTGACAACAGACAGACAGACAAACAGACAAACAGACAAACGGACAAACGGACAAACAGACAAACAGATAAACAGACAAACAGACAGACAGGACAAAAACAATATACTCCCGGGATCTTTCGATCCGGGGGCATAAAAACAAGCCCTAACTGAAGAGGAGACAATGAACTAAAGGTTGGGGTGGACAGAGCACATTCTACACAAGCAAAATACATGTACATGTACTAACATCACAAGGAAGGTCTTGTGCTGGAACCCCCAAGGCAAACTGAAAGAGAGGGGGGGGATAGGCTAAAAAACAGGTAATGGACAGACCTGGGGGCTGACACCAAAAGAATAGACAAAACTTGTAAAGAACTGGAATAGATTGCTCAGAATGGAATGACTGGAGAAATCTCGTGGGCACCTTATGCCCATGAAGGGGTAGTAGGCAAAAAGTAGGTAATAAAATATGTAACTTTTTTTCTTTCAACATTCCTCAACACTATACATGTAATAAAACTTGCAAATGTATTTTATGCAATGAGGGGACTTTTTAAACAGTTATGTGTAATGCATGATGAACAGTGAATATGTATAAGAGATTAAACGAGCTGTGTTTGTGAAGCACTGATGCCCCCATATGACAGCTTATGGCCAAGTTTAAAAGTTTTCCAAAAGTAAATCAAACACCTAGGTTGAAGTCCAGAGGACAAATGTCTGTATCCAAAGAAAGAGCTCTTTAATCACAAGGAATACACATGTGAAATATGAAAGCTCTAGCACCAACCATTCAAACTAATGGTCAAGTTAAAAAAAAAATTCCAAAAGTAGTCAAACTCCAATGTCAAGGTCATAAGGTAAAAAAAATTTGATTTCCAAAAAAAAAAGGTATTGTCATAAGGAACACACATGTGAAACATGAATATCTTCAATTATGAAGATCCAACCATTCAGAAGTTGTGGCCAAGGTTGAAGTCTTTCAAAAGTATAGGTGAAACTTCAAGGTCAAAGCCATAAAAAAAAATGTTGGTACTGTACCCTAGAAAGGTCTTATCTAAAGAATACATCGAACACATGAAATATGAAACCCCTAGACCAACTGTTCAAAAGTTACGGGCAAGTTAATTTTTTTTCAGATGCTGGTCAAAGGTCTAGGTCAAACAAGGTCATGATCAAGAGGTCAAAAATGTTGATACATGGAAATAGGTGAAGATAACGATCAGTGATCAATCTCAAAACACCTACAAACAGTACTACATGTAATCTGTGAAGAGGGCATAAAACATGACCCCTAAAAGTTCCAGAAGTGGAATCAGGCGCCTTAGAGGAGTAAGCATGTGAAATATGAAAGCTCTAAAAACCACATTCAGAAGTTATGTGCAAAGTTTTTGTTTTTCAAGGTCATGATATCAAAAATAAAGGTATACTCAAAGAAAGGCCTTGTCACAAGAAACATACAAGTAAAATATAAAAGCCCTAGCACCACCCATTTAAAAGTATTAGCAAGGTTCAAGTTTTTGTGGATAAAAAGACTGTCGGACAGACCAAAAACTATATGTCCATAACCCCCATCCCCCCATAACCCCCCTTGCAAAAAAATCTCAAAACAAGACCATGAAATACCACTTAAAAGAACAAGGAGGAGGGAATGTATATTCTCAGTTTTTCAGGTGATTTATCATCAAGTTGAGAAAAAAAATGAAATCTCTTGGTGACGTACCTCGTGGTTCAGCATTTTACACAGCTCCTCTTTTGTGATGGACAACCTTTCTCTATCTGTGGAATCCACAACCAGAATTACAAACTGTACAGAGAAAAAAGAAACAATAGTCATTAAGCATTAAACAAGTATTCACATGTGTCTGAATATTCTGTTGTGGTTATATGAAATAAAGATTGAAAGTATGCAGTTATGTATGCAATTTTTGAATTCAAAGCATTTTACACAAATGTTTTACAAAATCATGTTTTACAAAATCTAGGTTTTGTACATTACATGTATATAGCAAAGAGTAAAGGAAGAAGAATTAATTCAAAATCCAATTTGTTTACAATATATTTACATGTATCTAGTACTGAAAGTACTGAAATCTGATTCACTGAGAAATGCGTGATATCCAGTGAAATAAAAAAATATACATAGCATGTATTTGAGGATTAATACTGAAACTGTCTCTCAAGAACTGTGACCAATGCCTCAGGTGCCAAGAGTTTTTTTGGGAGGTGATAATTTCAAATCCATCCTCAGGTATAGAAACAAATTATTTGTTCACATTATCGTGATTATACAACTACAAGTTTAATTACAAGTTTACAAAACTCCTGTTAAGCTACTAGTTCTTAAGATTTTTATTTTTGCAGCTAGGACAATAGATTTATCTTCTCTTTTTCATTTTTGCAGATAAAACTTCACTCTAACTTCAGATATAGTCCTTTAAAAATCAGTTTTTACTTTCCTTTACATCTCCCCTTGTATAGTAAAATACTCACCTGAGCATTGCTATAGTAAGTGTTCCAGGCTGACCGCAGTGTTTCCTGGCCTCCAATATCCCACATCAGGAAGTGGATATTCTTCCATATCACCTCTTCCACATTACTACCAATGGTCGGCGATGTGTGAACCACTTCATTCATTAAACTAAAATTAAGATTAGAAAATAGAGTGTCTACCAGTAATATCAAAATAATCTTTTAATTATTATCATGTTAATGTTTATGAAAAAGGGGGTTTTGTTACAAAACACCAAGTACATGTAAACTTAATCATGAAGACTCAACATCATTATGAAATAAAAAAGGAGAAGGGGTCTAAGTCAATGTGAATGCTTTAATATCCGATAGCTATAATTTTTTTTTATCACATTGGGCAACATAAAATGTTGCAAAATTTTACAAATGACACTCTACAAATTTTTGTGACATTTCTTGTGCTACTCGGTTTTATTAGTTGTATGGGGTTAATAATTTAAAACCCCATGAGTAATGTCAAAAAAAAAATCAAAATCCTCAAATCAAAAGCCATCACAGTGGACATCATTATGAAGATGAACTCTGGAGAGGGACACAAAGTGCTTTTGGGACTGTGTACATGGGGCTTTTAAATCAAGATAAATAGCCAAACCAGTGGCAAATCAACAATTCTTTTTGACATACATTCTATTCTTTAACATTTGTAGACTGTGATTTTACCTGACCAATCATATAAGGGACCAAGAGCAGGTGATTATACCCAGTAGAACATTGTGCATGGTTTAGGGTTGGTAGGCCTTCTCTTTAAAAAGATTTCTGGTTCAAAGGTAATTGTCCGCATTCACCTTGCCTTTTAAACCTCACTAGTATTATCACCCAGTGCAATATTTTTCCGATTTTTTTTTTAAGGAAACATTTGTCTGACCTCTGCTGTGAAAATTATAAAAGTACTACTGTAGCATATTTCTATATTCTGCACTCGCATTAAAGGTAAAAGTAGGGAATTTCATAAATATATATACTGATACGCATTACTTGTATACACAATGGATGAATTGACACAATAGATAAGATATAAATGAATCCTGCGTATTGTGTATTTACTGAATAACAAAAACTTTTTCATTTTCTCAATAGTACTTAAAAAATCTAGGAGTGTATATTGGACATTTAAATCTTTTAAATCATAATATCCTACAAGATGACAGGAGATTGCTATTAAGAACATGATTATTTTGTTGCTCTTGTACTTTCAACATCGCAAGAAATGTGATAGATCTATGAAGATTATTTCACCTGAACAAAACAGAATAAATCCCAGTATAGTGTATAATAATACTACAGCTTGTAACAACTTTAACAAAGACCTTCTTAGTTCAAACAGAGATGAAGATAACTGATCCCATTGCTGTGCACATGTACTGTACTTTTCTCCTAAAATGCATGAATCTATGTCTATTCACAAGTGAACTCTCTGTGTGAAAAAGCCAAATTTAAATATATATGCATGTATTTATGTATATATTTGCAGGGGAACTGAAAGTCTATGGCACTTTTACATCTCTGGCACTTTTAATCATAAATTATTTAAATGAATATTCAAAATATCTTAATTAACTGGTAATTAAATGTTAACGTTAATATAATAAATGTTAATAAACCTGTTACTATTTCAAGAATGTCATAACTCAGCAGTTTGGAAAGACAACTTAGTCACATTAACAAGTACTTGTATAGATCTACAGTACTGTGATTTTCCAAGGCCAAAGACATGATAGAGGGCTGTAATGGGAATGTTTGTAAAGTAAATCAAGTCATAAAGAGTAGGAGTAAAATACAGTCAAACCTCGTTATCTCTAACTTGATAGTGCTGAGAAAAAACTTTGAAATTTGCAAGGATTTGAGATATCGAGGGTAAAATACTTAAAGAATAAGTGGTTGGGACTTTTAAATCACTTTGACATATATATCCATATGGTACAATGTATTCAATATATCGGTGTTCAAGATACATAAGTTCAACTATACATGTTATTTAACAAATACCATGCTTTAGGCGGCACTCCTCTAGGCAGAGGGAATGCATATACTACAAGAAATAATACTCATACAAAAAAAAACTTCCTGTAAATCGAAGGTTTTTGCAATGGAGGAATGTGGCTCTCTGGTATGACTGTCTGCATTTTTTGGTCCTAGAAAGCTACAGTTCTATAGCTAGCAGGGCTTTCAAAAAGGTTAGAAACGGGTGTTATTTTGACAAATATAGGAGGTACCTTATGGAAGCAATTTTAATTAAATATATATGTTAATGAATTTTTCTCCATTGAATATTTTGGCCGGTACAAACATAATTTCAGCCTGGAATTAAAAGTACCCGGTAATGGTAGATTAGGAAAGACCTGAGCTAGTATATTACAAAACTCAGGTAAAAAATAAAATTATAAACTTAAGTAGCATGTTGAGAGATTAGGATTTTTACAAGACCCTACATCTGAAAATCACAGTGTTAAATTAAATCATCCACATTCAGAATCAATATAATTCTCCATACATCTCCCACCTAATGAATAGCGGATTACTTTTAATATCATTTATGTAAGCATCTCAAGTAAACGATACATCGAGTGTTGATAATAATCATCACCTAATTTCACCTTGGTGAAAGGAATAAATCTATAATTATCATACACCTGTAGGCCACAGGTGAATTTAGTATGACTTGACATATGCTTAATGTGTGATAATTTAATCAGACAGTAAAATCAGACTGTAATACATATTGGCTTTCTTTATATCTTGAGAATGGAAAACATTTTTTTTTTCACATGTTAAATTAATGAGATGATTATTTTTACCATCCATCATGTCCATTGTCAAAAGCCACAGGTTTTGTGTTTTTTCTATTTCCACAAAAGTGGGAGTAAAACGACACAAAACCCAGGACAACAATGCCTTAGTACCATTATGAGATTTCCATGCTTCATACTGTCAGAAGCAGATCTCATGCACTCATCTATCATGCCAGATTTAATTAACACATATAATTAAAATAGCTTAGCAATTGAAGGCTTACAATTTGTCAATTAAATACTCTCGGTCTACGGTGATTTTCAACACCATGTGCACATGTATTACATTAATACAATTTAGCATGTACCACATGTACAAGAAGGAAAAAAGTCCATGCAGAATTGCCACTTAGGCACTGTTATGTACATGCATTCTTCAAAGCATACTGTTGAGACTGTAACAGGAAAGGAGAAAATGTATATGGTTGGCCCGAGAATCAAACCTGGGCCCCATGCATCACTACAGAGGTGCTCTACCGACATAGCTATCCACAAAAGGCCCATATCCACGGCCCAAACCATTACATTCCTCCCTCCTTAAATTGTCTTTGCTCTCGAAGACACGTACAACCCAAGTTCTTATTTGCCCCTGGCAGGACTTTTACCTTCAAGTTCAGGGGTGGTCAACATGGTAAAAGGCACCAAATTAAGTAACAGGAAAGGAGAAATGTATGGCTGGACTGGGAATCAAACCTGGGACCCTTGCATCACTAGTCAGGTGCACTACCCACTGAGTTATCCAAGCCGATATCCACAGCCAAAAACATTACAAGACTTTACTGAAGGTGATTATGTAACAATAGACATTTTGTGAACTTTCCTGTTCTTTCATTTAATTGACCTCCATAAATTTATGATTTTTTCTTTAGAAATCAAAAAAAAAAATCCCTGGCAGTAAAAAATAATGTATAAACTCCAAGTCTACCTATTTAATGTTTAGTACATGCATACTTTCAAACCGCATATTTAGTACAAAAAATAACTTACAATTGATACAGGATGGTAGTCTTCCCAGCATTGTCCAGTCCCACAATGATGACTTTGTGTTCTACAATAGCAGAAAAGTACTGATTTAATATTATCTGTTTTTGGTGACACATCATGCAGCTAAAGGTCTTTTTTGGAGTACTGCACCATAAATACATGAGCAACTGTCAACAATCACTCATAGCAAATGGAAAACATTGCCCTATATATGCATGGTGCCAATAACACCAGCACAGCATAGCTGTATCATATTCATCACATTCAACATGTTCATTGAAACATCTAACGGTATGTTTTCCAATTTGTGTAACATATGCATAAATGTGTATCATCATTACTTCAGATTTTAATGTCTAAACTGAAGTCTTAAGAAGTAAATAATACACATGGCCGTAGGAACCAGGGGGGCAGGGGGGGGGGGGCGTGCCCAATAATTTTGCCGATATACAGACTACTATAGAAAACATAGATACTATATGCCTGTGCCCCCTCAATAAAAATGTCTGATGACCTTTTTTTTTTTTTTTTGCTTGTCAAGAAATTTTTGGTAGTTGATAGTGCCCCCTCAACTGAAAATGTATGGCTGTTCCCCCCCCCCCCCCCCAAACTGAAATTGCTTCCTACGGGCCTGATACATGTAGCCAAATTGTACAATTTTTTTTTATAACAGATATATACAATTTTTTTTATAACAGATATATGTAAAAAGATATATATAATAATATGTTTTATCTGCACATACAAAAAATTGAGCAGTCCTGAATAATAACCTTTAAAATACCATTTACATGCAGCATGATTCTACTTTTTTTGGTTAAAGGTGGGAAAAGAAGAACAACCATCATTTTACACATGTTGGTACCTATAAATTTTTGAACTGTAGATCTAAACTTATCAATCAAAAGTTGAAGTCAAGCCCACTCAGCTGATCATGGAAACACAATACCTGTAACTATAATTATGCTAATTACTTGTCAGACACACATTTTATGGTTCGTGACCTGTTGAAGATGGATTTCCTAGGACTTGATGCATTATCTATGCATGAACACTGATTGATTTTCATTCATTATTGAAAAAAATAATCAGATCTCCAAGTATGAGATATTATATATATAACTAATAATCAAAGAAAAAATGGTGATTAAATATCACCCAATACATGATTATATGTATATATGACTTAGAATATTTAAATTTTAATTTTGATGACAAATAGATAATTTAATTTGCCATTTATATAGCATCAAAAGCCTATAGCACATATACAAGACTCACAATATATTCTGATCCTTAAAATTAATACTTTTTTTCATTTCAAAACAATAGAGGAATTTTCTTCATGATGACAATGTGTTAATTTCATATGAATTGTAGTTTTATCATTTGAGTGTAAGCTTGTACACTAATTTATAAGATGTATTCATGACTGACAATTAGTCTACCTTGCAATATTACATGGTTCATGTACACACATAACAAGTACAGTTATATATATACATTCATTTGTACACCAGAATACATCTAGTATTTGAAATTTTATCATAAGTTTTTGCTGAAATAAAAGAAATGCTTGAATATAACATATGAACTATTGTATGTAGGATAGAATAGTTTTAAGTATTATTTAGAGAATGAGACGGGTTCTGTATCGTAGATACAAATTTGGGGGTGGACGAGTGCATAGACAAACTGAGACAGTGATCTAAGTTGTGTTGTCACTATAGGTGTTGTACATGTATACATGTACATTGTGTAATGATTGTATACATTGTGTAATGATCAATATACATGATATATACTGATGTCATATATTACATGCAAACACAATTTTTTTTAACATGTTTAATATCAACATAAATTGCAGTGGTGTTAATCAAACACACAAGCACAAATTTGGAAATTAGAAGAGGAATCTGCAAAAGTTTTTTGGGTCAACACTCAACAGGCCATTTGGTCCTGTGCACTCTAGGAACAATTACAGGACCTAACCAAAGTTTGTCAAACTGAAAAACCTTATGTAGGAAAGTGAAAAATGTGAAAATACAGAACCAAGGAAATCTTACGGTTCAAGCGATTTTTATCACAAGTCACTCATTTATGATTTGTGTGATCATTTTTCTTAAAAGAAACATTTATATGACACCATGTCAGAATAGTAAAACTCAAAACTGGCCTGGTGTAAAAAAAAATGATGCATTAATTAATAGACTAGATCGATAGGCACTGTACATCAGTCAGGTCCAACCGATGTCTTTCGGAAAGATTGAAGTCACATGTCCATATAACACTACATGTATATATCTGTGATCTTTCAGAAGTTCAGCATAAGATCAAATTGATGAAATCCAAGAAAACTTCAGACATAAAATAATGTGAAAAGTGTTCATGCAATTTGCAATTGAAAAGTGTCCAAAACTGAAAAAGTATGCGACAATATACATAAATCCATTCCCTGAAGACATATTCTCTTTAGAGAAGTGGACAGGCTTTAGCCTACATCCATGGATGCACTGTTGGCTAAAGCCTGTCAACTTCTCTAAGGGGAATATACCTGAAGACCTTAAAAACTTTCATGAAGACAGATGGGGTATAAACAACTTACATCAAAGGACTTCAAAAATTGCATCTAAATCAAAATTGTGTTAATGAAAATAGTATCAATTTAAAAAAAACATACCTTCATTTGTAAATAAACTCCACAATCTCGAAAAAAGTAACCCCATTGTTAAGTTTGGAATGGGGTTTCTAAAAATAGACCGGAGATTCCCTCTTCACTGGAATCGGTATAAAACGTAAAATAACACCCTAGGGTCACATTATTTCAAAAATATATAACAAATGGTTACAAAATTACATATATTAAACGAAAATAAGTTTCTATCTTCCAAGAAATGTACACAACAGCTGATTGTTCGTGACTGACATCAACTACTACTGACACGATCTATCGGAAGTTATTTGTCATGGGAAGATTGCCCATGCGTGAAACAGATTTCCGGTTTCACTTTCACTTTAAAAGGCAAAAATGTGAAAAACCGACTCATGTAGATGTACTTAGCGACCGCCATTTTTCTGCAAATTTAACTACTTTAGGGGCTCAGCTAAAGTTTTTAAAAAATGACAGAGGAAAAGTTGAAAGTGTGAGTGTTTGGTTTTAGTCGAAAGTGTATTTTTAATTATTATTTAGCAAACAAAGACAAGATGCACATGTAGAATCTAGCTGGTACACGTTTGCCTATTTTTATTTTTACTACATACGAGTATAATTTGGAGTTTTCTGTAAATTTAGTTATTTTTTCAGTAGTTAAGTGTTTATAGTTAACTTTTACAATTTACTTCAACTGTTCTTTTTTTTCGAATTTTGACATTTTTTTTTTTTATCTTTGTTCTTGTAGTCATTGCTATTTAAATTATTTTCCTTATTGATAGTATGGTTTCTAGTCAACTCATAACCTGACCCACTCATAACCAAGTCAACTCAAACCAAATATGTCAACTTAACCAAAAAAGAAAAAAAACGTCAACTACTACAGTATTCAACAGATCAGGACAAGTTATATAACAAGGGGTTGATATTCTTACAAGAGTTTTAATAATACAAAGTGCATCATAACTTGGGTTTTAATGAAAGAAGAAACAGGACATCTACCTAGTTCACACAATGATGAAATATTGCATGCTGATTTGTTGAGTTCTAGAACTGTTTTACAATATTTAGCATGTACTTAAGGAATAACTGTCTAATTTTTTGGTTTCATGATGTGATCAATCGATTGGCTTGCGTGATAATTTGCATAAACGCCGAAGGCGTTTATGCATAAAATTATCACGCAAGCCAATCAATTGATCATTGTCATGAAACCAAAAAATTTGACAGTTATTCCTTATATTTACATGCTCTTGATTCTGCAAATTCATGTGCTACAAGCCCCGCTTCTGTCTCTATTTGTCCCACCCCACATGTTTTTTTTTTTTTTTTTTCACCACGCCTATCGATGAACCAGTAGATTTATGTAGAAATAAAGTATTTTTACTTTTTGAAATTTTATCTCGGACAAAGACATTGGAAATGAAAATATTTTTTCATAGGGACAGATTTTTTCTTGTAAAGCTAGATTATCGTATGAGTTATTATTTTATTTTTTCATTGCTAGCATAAAGTGGGACAAACAAGAGTGTGAAATATTTTTACAAAACATATTTTCCAGTTACTTAATGAAATTGGAGAAAATATTTCTGTGGGCGAATATTACTTTTAAGCCCTTCTTAGACAGCTCATGTATTCCTACATTTAAACTACCTTTGTGGTCTATGATTGTTCTAAGGAAATTTTATTCTTTTACTTCTTCAAGAGAGTGATTATCATAATACAATACAGGGGTTGGTTTATATATTTTTATGAAAAGTCAAAAATTTTGTTTTTCTACTGTGAACAGTTAATTGCCAATTTAGATAGCAAAGAGACATCAAAAAAGGGGGGGGGGGAGATAAAAAGATTTTCTTGCTAAACATATTTAAGTATTATGATCACTTTGGTTTCAAAGCTTTAAATCATATGACTTGAAGGGGAAACCCATTTAAGAGGTAGATTTTTTTAAATCTTACTCATGCACACTTGCCTTTTTTTGCAGTGATTTAAGTGTACCATTTCCAACAGAGGATGAAGCACAGATTGCCTACGGAACACTCAGTGTGGACTCCGAGCCTAAAAGGGGTGGCGTAAAGAAAGAACTCACAGTGAAAGGAAATTTGCTCAATGTGTAAGATTTTTTGATCTTCCAAATTTCAAAAAGCATGAAATATTATCCCAGCTGGAAAATGTCAACAAGCAATCTAAATAATTTATATAGAAGTAGAATTATGTCCCTAGAACAGTCCAGATTTGTGTACTTGCAGTTCCCTCCCTTTATCCAAGAGAAACATATATAACACAAACTAGTTTAGATGATAATTCTGGAATTTATTTTGAAATAATGTCTTTACTATTTTGCAGACATTTTGAAGCTCTGGAAGCTCGTATGATGAGAGTGGGTGTCAACTCTTTTTTTGACCATCTAAATCTGGTGATTCAGACTATGGAGCGATTTGGACCTCCTCAGAAGAAACCAAAGTCCTGACCATGTGTTTTTATTATCATTATGATATTAATTAACATTGTTTTAAAATGTGTCACACATGGTCTAGAGAGAGAGATTGCATGAAGACTTCAAAGATGTATAAAGTTCATTCCAACCTTACAAATTTATCAGGCTCTGTAGAGATGTACAAGTAACAAAACATCCTAGTTTTGAAAATTTGTTTAATGTTTGGCCCTAGCATTGTATTTTTAGTACCCTAAAGTGAGTTATGACAGGAATTGAAAATGCTGCATATGTTATGTATATGAAGGACACAGGTACTTGACATTTTTAACATTTTCTTTATAATTAAAAAAATTCTATACTATAAAAATTTTTATAGTATAGATTTTTTGTTAATCATAAAGAAAATGTTTTAAAATATGAAGTATCTGTGATGAAAGAGACTTTTTTTTAGTATTATATAGTATGTACATGTACAGTGTAATAGTTTTTTTTATTAAATTACCTGTCTGTCAGGTACTGTACTAGATGAATTGAAAATATATTGCATATTTACATATCTTTAAAAAAATATCTTTTTATATATAAACATTTTAAAATAAATTTATAGAAACAATTATAAAGTTCATGCACATGATGTAACTATGTGCTTTGTTATGCAGACCTGCATCTACCTAACTGTATCAGTGATATTTTCTGTATTTTAATAAACCTACATGTATGTAAATTCCTTTGAAGGAAACATTAATATTAAGGGGGGGGGGGGGGGCTGAAATAAAACAGCTAGCTGTCTAAAAGTGCTTAGTTGGAAGAGGACAGAAAGTACTTTGGCTTTGAAAAAGTGAACATCACACTGTAAACCCCCTTATTTTTAATGGAGTCCAATTTTTGTGGTTTGCAAAAGAAAGACTGTGTCATGAAAATTTGATTTTGTGGTTGAAGAAATAAACACGATACTGTAGTTTGAAATTTTAACACTTTGAGGCAATCTCCTAGGCAGAATTGTCATTCGTTCCTCTTTCAGAGCAATGTTTGAGCCGATGGTGTAGAGTGACTTTGTTGACGACGTGACTTTATAGGTCTCTTCATGCCACGAAAACGGTGAAAATTAATCTTGCGAAAATTAGTGGTCTACTAATAAAAAGCCAATGCTTGTCCGTAGGAAGCTCTTTTAGATTGAAATAAGGGAACTGGAGGATGCTATAAATCTTTACAATTATGATAATTAAACATTTCATTTACTAATTACATGTTGGGGCTCATGAGGGACAATATTATACAAAGGAACAATGATTATAGAAATACACTTAGACATACAGAATATATATATAATGAATTTTATTCACAATTTACAGATAGTTTGGAGTGGAGAGACCAAAGAAACACGGGAAATAATATCACGATAAGGCCAACTTTAAAATAATGATTGTTTGCCCTCTCCCGACTCAGGATGAAAAATTTGAGTCGGTAGGTAGGTAAGAATTTGTTTCCCCCCAATTTTCAATTCCAAAACAAAAATCTGTCCAATCAAAATATAAAATAGGAAGTGCGTGCACAGTAAAGATTCTGTGATTTTTTTTCCCAAGTCTCGTTAAATTTAAGTCGGTGGTACATGTATAGGAAGCGTTGTGGATAAGAGATGGGTACCCCACCCCCACATTATGGCAAGAATGGTATCCTTCATGTTTTGATATAGGAAACCCCAAATATCTGATCAAAACGTAAAATAGGTGGTGGAAAATAGCACTCTGTAAAGATGATTCTGTGAAATGTCTCGGGCCAACTTTAAAATAATGTTTGTTTGCTCTCTCTCTCGACTCATGCAGAACAAAAAATTGGGTCGGTATATAGGTGAGAAATTAATTTTTCTCAGAAAATTTCAATTTCAATGCTGAATTTTCAAAATTTATTTTCCAGATTGCATAAAAAATAATTATTTCCTGGAGGTTAAAAAAAAGTTTTGAGTCGGGCCATTTTTAGCTAGTCGGTTGAGAAAGGGCAACCAAACAATTTTTAAAGAAGGCCTCACTGATTAAATTTTATACATTGATATAGGAGGAGTTGCCACGGATAAGATTAAGAGATTATAGTATACCTCCATATGTCCATATTTTGCTATGGAAAACCCCAAATATGATGTGCGCAATGGCAATGATGTAACAAAGATTCTATGAAAGTCTCATTAAATTTTATTCAGAGATATATAGGAGGAGTTGCGGATAAAAGATGACTGCGTACCTCCCATGCAAGGGTAACTGACGGAAGGACGGCCATCCCAGTCACTATATATACATTTGTGATTATATATACCGCTTTTCAGATAGGAAAAACCGATATCTAATTTTAGAGGAAACCGAACATCACTTCTATTTCTGTCCCGACTCTGGGGCCATACCTCATTATAGTTGTCACTAAGTGCTATTTAACTTGGGACTTCAGGAATCTAAAAATAGGAAAACAAGTCAAAAATGCATGTGTAAATTCTGCTCAGATTCTTGCATTTTTAACAAAAAAAAAAAAAATTCATACATTATTAAACAAGACGTTTTGCCACACTTTATCCCGTCATTTATCTTTTTAGGTAAATAATCAATTACTGTAAAAAAAAAAAAAATACGCATCAAATAACCTGCATTGTTCATTGTATAAAAATCCTATTGTTTAGAATGATTCCTCGGCTTTATTGTGGTACAAAATAAGAGGCTTTGAACAGCCAACATTCCCCACGATCAGAGCAATCGGCTGCATTAATTGGGCGGACTTTTCAAATGCCCTTTCTTGAATTATAAAGAAAAAATTAATATTTCATTTGGGCGAACTATTTTGCATGCATGCAATAAATCATTGGATAAGCTTAGTTTACCATCAGGCGCGATATCAAGGGATTTAAATACACAACCAAAAATAATATCTGAATGTACCGTGTCGATCTGTATAATTTCCACTGTTGTGTTCCTGTAACTTTTATCAGTATTTCATGTACAATGTTTTGAATATCTTTATAGTATAATACATGTAGTGTAATATAATGACTGACCATCTCTATGGCTTTCACATGTAATCACCCTTTTTTTCCTAATCTAATTATGAAATTTAATTTTCCGAATCCGCGAAGCGGTAGAGTTTTCGAACATCTAATTATAATTTCATGCAATTAGATTGCATTTTTAGCTTAGCCATCTTAAAAAAATATTCATCTCGAATGAATAATTTTCGACTAAATTAAATCATAATCCGCCTAAGTCATGCAGAAGATATGTTTCTGACTGATTTTAATCCTTTCTAATTTCTTATGTAGATAAGTCCTATTTCGTTTCTCTTAGCCTATAATATTTCTCAAGCTTAAGTTTTTTAAAGATCTTATTTTATTTTATATATTTTTATCTTATTTCACTTTTTATTTACATGTATTTATTAATTGGGGTGGGGTGGGGGTGGGGGGTGGGGGGTCATATGCTGTAGAATTTTCATTTATAAACGCATGGAGAGAGAAAAAAAGGGGTTATAGTGAGAAGAAACGGGGCTTAAAAATTACAAAAGAATTTATTTAGAAGGGTTCAAATCATTTATGGCTCTAAATTCGCTCTTGAGTACATCTTGACCTATATGATTGTAACAAGAGGAATATAAAATAAATTATTTAAAAAATTGAAATAAGAAATGTTTTATACTGAAAAGTGTATTGCAAATATATAAAAAAGATAAAATAAGCAGATTTTTTCATCAACTTACTTTTTTTTTCTTGAAATGAATTTGATAATTCCACTAGAATTACGCACGTGTAGGGGGACATTTTCAACCATGTCAAAATAAAAGTCAAATATACGGCGATAATACCTTGTACACAGAATATCTTCATTCACTACTGTTTAGGAAGGATGAAATTAACATACAAAAGTATTTTAATGCACATTATGTCTAAAATAACAGAAAAATAGGAATTTATTTCTTCTCATATTTTGAACGTAACGTCTGTCAGACTCAATACACCGCGTACATTGTTATAAAATGGACCATTGTTTATGCAAACTATTTTATCTTTCTTGTCTACTGATAGAAAATTTACCTGTTTATCAATTAAGTGATCGCAGATTCAACAGAAAAGCACATGTGCTTAGAAATTAACAAATCTGTGGGATGCTTCCTGTGTCTGTCATGGCAAGTGGGCGTTACGTTCTATTTTAAGAATGGAGCTCGGAGATGCTTCTTCTTATACATTTGACTTAAAAGTTATGAATATTTAAATTTTCTCCAGTGTTCTATGCAAATGTGTTTACATTTCGATAAGAAGAGCTACAGAGAGAGCCCGAGAAGCCACGAACGTTTGTCTGTCAAGTGTTACGTTACACAAAGTATATTACGTTCATGAAAATATAAGTTGTCTTTATCCTAGATTTTAAACACATATCATCAAATATTGTCAGCTGGTAGGTGTATTTTGGATTTTTTTTTTAAAATATGAACTTGCACGCTCTTCATCACTACATAAACACTTAAAATTTGACATTTCTTACATAACGCACCGATTGACAGACATTGCCTGAATACTATCGTAACGGTGACGGACAAAACGAATGTCTGTTCATGTTACGTGAAACAAACGGGTGCATTCAGATTTATACGTTCAGTGAATTAAACCAAAAAGTATTTTTATTTAAGAATATTAGTGTATCATATGGCAAAATTTGTCTTTATAACTTAAACAGTACAATTTTGTAGTTGTTTTCTTGCAGTTTTAAAAACGAGTCTGTCAGGGTTACGTGCATCCGTACATGTTACGATATAGGTTTGATCTATATGAAATAATTTATTTTTTTAATTTCATTAGTATTTTCATAAATAATAATGTCTTGTGTATTATAATTTCCAAGAATAAAAGATAAGCTTTGAATGATAAATTTTATTGGCTCATTTCAAACAAGTATTGCTCAAGAAATATCGTAAAATGACAGACATGGTGGAAATTTTGTATGTTTCAAAGCGTATAGCAGAGATATATTTTTTTAAAAATTCAAATTTAAAATCTATGAGGAATCAAAATTTGAATAATGTCCATTTCTTACGGCAACATTATCTTTTTGATAAAATAATGAAAGTTTATGGTTTATTTGGCTGGCTAAGTAAAGGAGTCTGTCAGTGTTACGATCATCAGTTTGTGCATCAAAAGTAGCTTAAAAATCTTTTTTCTTCTACGTAAGAGTGAAAAATTTTTTTGCATTGTTTAAGGAATTGTTTAATTTTATTTTTTACAGATTATTTGTATTGCTAAGCATCAGAAATGTAATTTAATCATGTCAAGTTTTATCATACGTCTGTCATGTTACGTTATATGTCTGTCATGTGTTACGTGACACATATTTCAAACATTAATAAAATATTTATTTTTGACTTGATTATCTATTCAAACATTTTTTTGTCCTATTTAGAGTCAAAACTTCAAATACACATAAAGAAATCTAAGAAAAAAAAACGTGTCTACAGAATTCTTTATTTGTCCTCCCAGATGTACTCAAGAGCGAATTTAGAGCCTTATCTAGATTTTTTTAATTGATACTTTGGGGGGGGGGGGGCTTGTTGGTGTATGTTAGGGGGCATTGATGCTTCGTCAAATCGATACCAATGATTATGACGTTTTATTTATGACGTCACTTTTAAATGAAGACATGAATGATGCCATACCCCAAATTCAAATTTTTTAACGATCACGGCGGGTATGTAAAACGTTTTATTTAAATACATTTATCAAATTCAACAGTTAAACATTCAAAAATTCACGTAAACGCTTTCCTGTAGGGTTCCAGAACCTCTCATTTCTACTGAGGAATTCTGCTTGTACGCCCCATTGGTTTTGTGCATAGGAACAATACTGTCATTGGGACTTGGTCCCCCTATAGAAATTGACAATGTTCTTACCGTAAGTATATACATGTATATCAACAGCACACTTTGAAGTTTAATGCTATTTATTTATTTGGAAAATTAACTCTATAGTGTTTAAATTTCCGATATTTTACAGGAGATTTTAGCAGAACACGCTGTATCTGCAGCAACACTTTTTGTATGTTTCAACATTGTACAAGGTATGAAATTTATTTTAAATTAAGCTTATATCAAAATGCATGTATGTTAATTAAAAATCATTATAAGATTGTGTTTGTATTCGTGGTTAAATTAAACTCTTGCTGACATAAAATCAAAATGACATCACCCCCCGCCCCCCAACCAAACCAAAAAAAAAAAAAAAAAAAACCCACACAAAAAAAAAAACAAAAACAAAAAAATAACAAACGAACGAACTCACGAACAAAATTCAATAAACAAAATCAGACAGACATACATATCGTGTACAGGTGTAAAATACATGTAGATCTGATTGATATTTTAGTCTGGACTGCATGAGACTTTCATATATTTTAATGAATCGTTTCTTTTTTATCGGATTTTAGAAGATGTTAAAAAAAATCAAGTTGAAAGCGGTCTGTGATTACTTGAAAGTCTGTAAACCTTTATCAATAGTATTGTCTTTAATTAATTTTCAAACTGAAGTTTGTCATGTAATCATTTTCAACTTCAAATTAAAAATTAATAAAGACAGCATTAACAGCAGAATTAGTGAATGCTTGTTTTAGTTTTTCATCCGGTGGACAGCCATGTCGATGAGACGTTGGAATCCCCATCTTCCTCAACATCCGAGGACATCAAGTTTACTGACGCTTCTTCTCAAACAGAAGATAGAAACTACAAAATGGAGACGATGCTTATGAAGCAGAAATATGACAAAGAGATCAGAAAGTTAGGCAGAGAATCCAGGATTGTGAAGAGGAAATTTGGCAAACAAAGTTTGTATCAAGTATTTTTTAAACTAATAAGTGAGGATTTGATAAGCCAGAGATTCGAGAATTAAGTCTGTTTGTCCCCTCAAGTTCAAGATGTAGACGGCTTATAGTAGTCGAGGGTCCGGATCTTCTCCTTGGTATTTTACAGAATTATGAAATTTATAGCTATGAAGTAAATAAATCATAAGTATAAATTTATAAAGTAACCAACGAAATAATTATAGAATTACCCCCCCCCCCCCTCGATCCCCAGGAAACAATTGAGGACCCCTCGTCCATGTAAAAAGGAAAGCAGCTCGTCCATAAGAACTTTCTAACCTCACCCCCTTTTTTTTTTGCTTCTTTGCTTGTTGAAAAAATTCTGTGGTCAGATTTTTGTTTGAAGTTAGTACGTACCCCCTACCCCTTTTAAAAGAATTCGTGTTGATTTTCCCCCTTTCAGTCACAGATTTACGACGAAAGATAGAATCCACCGATAAGGAACTGAGTAGCCTACAGTTACAGATCCCCGCCCTTGAGAACGAGAGATCCGCCCTACTGTCGGAGACTGACGCAGTGGATAAACAACTGGAGGAAGAGAAGTTCCGTTATGATACATTGATGACAAAGTACGAGGCTTTCCATGCCCAGCTCATGCAGAGTGGAATTGCCTCGTTAATGTCTATGAACTTTTTAAACTCCCGTCCAGAGTTATGGCAACAGATTTAACTGCATCATTGAGTAATAATATTATTTCTATTTGGTGTATAGATGGTGGCAGAATATATAATTTAACATTGATAAATTATCAATTGTATTTATTTATTAAAACTCATCTTAGCCTCCATTTTTGTGTCCGAATCCCAGATGAAAGAAGATGGAAATTCGAAGGAATGATACAGAGACTGTTTTTAGCTCACCTGAGCTGAAAGCTCAAGGTGAGCTTTTCTGATCACCTGTTGTCCGTCGTCCGTCCGTCTAGCTGTCTGTCCGTCCGTCTGTAAACTCTTCACATTTTCAACTTCTTCTCAAGAAATACCAAAGTTGAAATAAAGCATTCTTGAGTGAAGGGGAGTTTAATTTTGTTAAATTGAAGGACCAAGCCCCATTCCAAGGGGGAGGTAATCAAGAAAAGACAAAAATAAGGTTGGGTGATTAAAAAATCTTCTCCAAATCCACTGGATCAGAAAAGCTGAAACTTATTTGGAAGCATCTTGGGGTAGTGTAGATTCTAAATTATTCAAATCAGGGCTCCGGGGGGTAGGGTGCGGCCACAATAGGGAAACAAAGTTTTCTTTTGAAATATATAGGAAAAATCTTTAAAAATCTTGTCCTCCAGAACCACTGGGCCAGAAATTGCTGAAACTTATGTGGAAGCCTCCTGAAACACTGTTCTAAATTGTTCAAATCATTACCCCCCGGGGTCGGGTGGGGCCACAATGGGGAATCAAAGTTTTTACATTTGAAATATATTGGAAAAATCTTTAAAAATCTTCTTTTCCAGAACCACTGGGCCAGAAAAGCTGAAACTTATATGGAAACAAGCTGGTGTAGTGTAAATTCTAAATTGTTCACATCATATCCCCTGGGAGTAGGGTGGGGCCACAATAGGGAATCAAAGTTTTCATTTGAAATATATAGGGAAAATGTTTAAAAATCTTTTTCTCCAGAACCATTAGGCCAGAAAAGCTGAAACTTGTATGGAAACATCCATATGTAGTGTTGACTCTAAATTGTTCAAATCATTGCCCCCGGGGTAGGGTGGAGCCACAATGGGGAATCAAAGTTTTACATTAAAATATAATGAAAAAATCTTTACAATTAAATTTCCTTCTCCAGAACCACTGGGCCAGAAAAGCTGAAACTTATTTCGAAGCATCCTGGAATAGTGTAGATTCTAAATTGTTCATATTATGACCCCTAGGGGTAGGGTGGGGCCACAATAAGTATTACAAGGGGGTTGAAAAATAGCAGGACCAAAGTTCCTCAGGTTAGCGTTGTGGTCCATGGACCTTTTTTTTTGTCAAAGTAAAAAAAAAAACATTAAAAACAATTGTAAGCTCTCTTTAAAACTTGATAAATAGTACAAATATACTTCAAATGCACTTTTATATGCCAACAGTGATTTTATTATATTTGATAGAACACAAATTAATTTTTACAAAGCACATTTTTTCTTCACTTACGCTGTACCTCCATATTAAGACTTAAGTCCCAAGTTCAGCCTTACATGTGACTTCGTCGTTCATAAATAGATGCAATTATTTCCGAAATCTTTGACATGTGTTGATGAATAGAGTGCTGGTGCAGCAATTATTTTGCAGTGATTTTGTAAAGTCTCAAAGTTTTATATTTGCAGCCTTTTATTATATATATTCTACATATTAAAATACGAGGGAAGTGGAGGATAGAAAAATTGAAGTCATCACATTAAATTTATCGCAAAGCCTATAATTGTTAGTCTGCCATCCTGCCTTTCCGTAGTAAAATGCCCTACTTTGAAGCAGTTGTGTCACACTTCGTGGTGTCTTTTGTTTCGAGTCAATTGGGAAATATCGAATCAACGTATGAATGAAAAAAATGTTAATTGATAAAATGTCATCGATATACCTACATGTAAATATCTAAAGGCCACAGCGGGAATCTTTTTCTTTTCATGATCTAGAAGTTTCTTAATAAATTCTGCTTCATACGTTGTACCATTAAAAATCAGGTCTGCTAATAATGGGGCACAATTGGTATCCATGGGTATTTGGTTTTTCTATAGATTGTTGGAAAACCTAGGACCCGCTTTACAAAAGAACTTAATTACGACTAAGACCAAAATTTAATTCTGCTTATAACTTTTTAATTTACATTATATTGAAAATGGTTTTAATCTTTTGAAAAGGAACGTAGTAAGAATTTTTTACGATAGGAATTTTAAAGAGAATAATTAATTTTGCAAAATTTTACAATCAAATTAAGTTTTTGGTCTTAGTCGTAAGTTCTTTTGTAAAACGGACCTCTAGTCTCCAAGACTACATAGTTTTGTCAATTAGAACCCGGGAAACTCAATCACGTTTTAAATAAAAAGTACTATATACCCTTCTGGACGATTTTGCATGTTTTCCTCTGAGACACGCTCTTAAAATAAAGACATTTTGTGACATTACATACTAAGATGATGGAGATCATTTCTGAAAAATCATGGAACACTGTACAACACCTGGGTACAAAATGCTCTTCAATGGTTTTTAATTTCGGAGAGTATAATTGAAATAGAATATTGTGTGGCATATACTGAGGATCATATTACTTATACATGTATTTATCATTTTGTATAGCAACTAAAAAGAATAAAAAAAGAAAGTCCATTTCTTTGATAATGGTACTCCTCCTACAGAGTTTGAATTGATTTCAACAAAACTTGGTACACATTTAGAAAACACCAGGATACATAATTCTAATAAAAATGACTACATGTATGTAGAACAATAGTAAATGTGTTTTAGTCCAGGTGCTACGTTTCTCTTCGTTACATATATATTATCATTATCGATTGTTAAACCATATTTAAGTAGATACATGTATCCTTAAGAATACAATTTAATATCGTCATTTTTAGTTTCTGCATATATCTTTAAATACATATTATATTTATATACATGTGTATTTACTTTTGCAAATGTTTTCTTTTATATAACACTGTTGAAAGCAACGCGTATCTATATCCGTATAAACACCTTTCGGGCTTTATGGACTTTGATCTCGTGACCAACCCGTATTTATATCCCGATAGATGTTTAAAAATGATATCTTATTTCTTACATAAAATAGTCTTTAATTTTTTAATACACGTAAAGGAAACCTGCATTTAAGTTCAATTTTTTTCTAAAGATTTGTTATATGGTCACGTACCCTGTTCGACACTGTCAAATGCCTTTTTCATAGTCTATAAAATTGATATAGAGAGGAGATTTCCACTCTATTGACTGTTTCACTATGATAGGCAAGGTGGCAATCTGATCAACAAATGACCTATTCCTACGAAAGCCTTCCTGCTGGTCCCGGAGCTTAATACCAACTGTCTCTTTCATTCTGCGCACGGCGAACTATATAGAATACCTAAATTTATCTCCCTAGTCCAGGTGCACCTACATGTACAAAGATATGTCATGTGTAAAGTAGCCAATGTAGGACAGGTGTCAGACAATTTCAAAGTGAAGACAGGCGTGCGACAGGGTTACCCACTGTCGTCCTTCCTCTTTATCCTTTTTATTGATGGCGTCATGAAGACAATCATAAAAGGCAAGAACAATGGAATTCAGTAAACACCCTAGACACAGCTGGATGACCTAGACATCACTGATCATGAACGGCGCTTCTATCCCACAACGAAACCAGAAGCAAGACAAGACCCCACCATACTTGCAAATATAGCTGATGGGCAAGGACTCAAGATAAAAAAATGCGTATTGTCAGTTCCAAAATCAGAACCGTCCGGTCAGCCTATATTAATGAAATTTGTTTTGCTCTACGGTTCAGAGAATTCAGATGACAACAGGCCAACAAAGATCAGAAATGAAGAACTGCCAGTGGGAAAAAGACAGGACAAGAATATATATATATATATATATAGTTAAGTAGATTTTGCGACGGAAGTGGGACTGGATAGGACACTTCCATCTAGCATAAATCGGCAGGTTCTTACCTGGAACTCTCAGTACGAGAGGAAGAGAGGTCGGCCAAGAAACAGCTGGCGACGACCGAAGCACAGTAACCACCTGGACAGACTCACAAGAAAGACAGCCTAGAGCCGAGTCGGTCGGTGGAGTGTCGTATGATGGAAACCGCCTCCTCTTGGGACGAAGGGGGCCTAATTAAGTAAGTACAGTGTAATAGTTTAATGTGACAATTTCCACATGTGGTACAATATGGAAACACTTCCTACTTTGCGCGTAGGCTTCAAACATAGCACTGAACAATAACATTGTATTGCAAGAAGGCGTTAAGTTAGTAATGTCGCATTTCAAAAACTTACCAAAATCGACAATATCGCAAAACCATGCATGTAATTTTTAGAGACTTTTATGATGATGTAATATACACACACAAGAAGAATCGTCTGCTACAAATTAAATTGTCAAACACGTAGTATCAGGGGGCTTGCCCCCCCCCCCCCTTTCCACCTCCAACTGGATTTTCGAGTTTTGACAATTTTGTTTTCTTTTGGCTTGTCTAACTGAAGATTTTTTAGGTAAGCTAATTTGTCAATTTTTTTGGCTGACCCTCAAAGAAGTATTATTGTAAAATGTGCAAGAAGGGAAAGTAGATTCTATTAATAGCATTCACTGTCAAAATCGGAAAATCCCCTATTGAATATTTAGGAACAAAGTCTATAGTCCATTTATAGCTTCATCATGTTCATTGCGTTCTACGTCGCTCACACATTTAGGTAAGAAATATTAAGATAGATTTGACGCACTGCATGAAAAAATGTATTAAGTACTAGGTACATTACTTCTTACTGCATGATTTTTGTCACGCTTATTTGAAAAACAAGGACTGTTATTATATAAGTCTGCATTTGTATTCTGGAAATGCAAACTGAATGTACTCTGAATGTACTCTAACTGACCTATGCAGGAATTTATAAACATTTTTTTTCTCTGTGGTTATACCAAATAGTTTGATTTCTTGAAAAAATATATATTTATATATTGACAAAAAAAGTTCATGAAGAATTTGTAAAGAATGTGAAGAGTGAATTTAATCTTGGTTTTATCCTAGAATTGGAAGTGAGGTTAAAGACCAAGATCTCACAAA